TGGATCAAATGAATGTCATTACAAATTTTTTCTATGAACTATTCAATAAGGTGATATTCATGAAATATCTGCAAGGTTTTGTCATGAAAGTAAAGAAGTACATGATATGCAGTTTGCTTAAATCATTATATGGCTTAATGCAAAGTTCCAAACAGTGAAATAAACGACTTCATGCACTCACAAGAATTTTTACTCCATAAGAATTTTTGTGATTTTTATGAAATGTATATGAGCATGTGATTACTTGAAGTAAGTACCTCATAAGTGCATTTGGGCTTATTATTCTTGTCTTGTATGTTGTTGACATGCTTACTGTACCTTCTAAGATATCTCATGTTGATAAGTTGAAGTCTCATTTGAACTCAACTTTCAGCATGAAGAATCTAGGTCCAATGAAGAAGATTCATGACATGGAATTATTTCAAGCTCAGAAGACATGGAAGCTTTTGTTATCTCTAGAAGTATGCAAAGAAGGTGTTTGCCAAGCTCAAAATGACAAAAGCTAAACATGTGAATACTCCATTGGCTGATTAGTTCATACTTTCAGTAGTGTAATACACTACGGATGCGATTGAAAAAGGCTTGATTTTTTCAATTTCCTATGAGAGTTTAGTGGATAATATTATGTAATTGATGGTATGCACATGACCAAATGTAACATTTGTTGTAAATAAGATGAGCAGATACATGTTAACTCCAAGCAAGATGCATTGAGAGGTAATGAAGTAGATACTTAGTAATCTTAAGGATTCTACCCAACATGGCAAACTGTTTGACAAAGCAATGAATGCCAAATCACTTTTTGAGTATGTGGATGTTGATCATGGAGACTTGAACAAGAAGAAATCAACAACTGGTATGTTTTCACTCTTACAAATAGCGACATTAGTTGGATATCTATTCTTCAAAAGTATATGTCTTTGTCATTCACGGAAGCTATATATGTTACAAAACCAGAGGCAAAAAATGAAACAATTTGGTTGAACAAGTTTATCAATGAGATCACATTGCCGCCACAAGACATCAATGCTCCTTGTGATAATCAGAGTGCGATTCACCTTGTCAAGAATCAGGTGATGTATAATAGAGCGAAGCACATTGACATTAGTTATCATTTTATTACTCATGTGAGGTTGAAAATGCAGTTAAGCTCATTAAGATTGATGGAGAGTTTAACGTGATTCATTGTGATAAATTTTTAAAACATCCAGCAACTTTGCAAATTTTTTATAGTTGAGGTAGATTACATGAAATTTTCTATGTATGTTGTTTCTCTCTAACATGTTTTCATCTCCGGCTTAGTTTTAGTTAACCCTCATTCATAAAGAAAAAAACTATAGTTTAGTTTTATCTTCTAAAACTTCTTGCTGAAACCATATCTGGAAGGTGGAAACTGCCCCCTCCAAGACTTGGATTAAGGAGGAGTTTGTAATATGTTAATCATAGTTAATCATTTGTACGGATTACCATTTTTCAGTTTAGTTTCACATTTATACATGACAAGTAGAGAGATAGTTGAAAATTTGGCTATGAAGGTTTTATGTAATATTCTCGATTCAGTGAAACTTTATCTTAGTCGGCATGTGATTCTCATTGCATCCGAACTACACATGACAAAACAACAATGCATATTTTCTACTTTTATATAGTTATGTAAGTCTTTATTTATGAACTTTGAATTAATGCACCAAAAAATTCAACCAATTAATCTAATGCATGCATTTAGAACTTGATAGATTATTTTGCAATAATCATAAAAATATCTGAATTTTATTTATGATGTAAAATATCAAAAAAATGAAAAAAAATTTCAAATATTATTCAGAATGATTTATGTGAAATATGATCCAATTTTTGTAACAAAAATTCAAAATACATCAAAATATGAGTATTATTCATTGAGATATTGAAGAAAAAATTTCTGGGGATAAACTTATCATAAAAAAATTTCAATTTCTCAATAGAAACATCATTTCACTTTGATTTTTATGCTAATAAATATATTCCTAAATAAATAAAATATTGACAACTGAAAAAACCTTGCACATATTAAATCATATCTATGTTGCACAAACTTTCATTAACTTAGATAAAGTTACATATTTTCTAGAATTTTCAGATAATTTTGTTTCCTTATACTTTTCTTAGAAAAAATTTATTATTTCATATCATATGCAAGTTTTAATATATTTATAGATTTAATTGATACATTTACTTTACATATGTGAACTCTGATAAGTTCAAATTATGTATAAGAAAGAAAAATACGGTATAATTGCTTGTCAATATCAGCGGATTACTTTTCATGCATTAGAGCTTTATTTGGCTAGTATTTGTCAAATCTATCATTATTTACGATCTTCAGCATCTAGTGTTTTAGGCTCGGACACCTGCTACATCAATCTTTAAAAAATAAAGTCACTTCTTCACATTTCAGATATGTCATATCTCCTAGTTGCTTACAAGTAGAAAGTGTGCTACAGTTAGAGACACTTTGCCGTAGCAGCTTTTGAGTCAGCCACATTAAAGACATGGAATATCTGAACACTTGATACTGAATGAGCTCACAGTAGCTTAAACGAAGTGATGGGAGGTGATGAGAGTTCATGCAACCCAAGTTATTAATTGGTACAAAGTTCATCTCTTGACACATGGCCACTTTGATCAGCCTAATTTCAGACCCATCAAGTAAATAGTCAGAAGTTGGCGAATGAGTTTAGAAAAAAGTGGAAAGAAGAAACCACTTCCCTTAGGACATTGTTGTTACATTTGACACATGGGAGCAGGAAAGTATAGACAGCCAAGTAGAGAATCCCAAATGCTCGTCTCTTTCATGATGTACAGTGTACGGCTTCAAGTTCAGGTGATGCATTTAATTATCAGTTTATCTTGATACTTGATATAATGGGTGGTGCTGTAGTACATATAGCTCATCAAGATACTATCGGTCATGACCTCTAGCCTCATGCTGGACTTAACGAGATACTCCCATTATTTTTTCGATATCCATGTGGCCACTCTCATGATTCAATGCAACTTTTGCAATTATCTTATCCCTTTGGTTGTACCCATGCACGACTCGATGCTTCCTTCCCAATATTTTCGCTGTATTCGTTGTTTACCATCTAACCTTACCAATGGCCCCTCGGTGCTTCCATCAAGCAAGCTAATCCTCGACTAGAGTTGAGACTTATTGCCTGCAGGCAGCTTACTCTTATTGCCTAAGCATCCACAAATGGCGTTGGTGGATGTAAGGAGGAAATGATGGCGTAAGAGGAGAGCAAGCTTGAACAGCCGAAGCTACATTCCGACGGCTGCAGGCTCGAGAACGTGGCTCCAAAGTGGTGATGGAAAACTTGAAAGCTTATGACTGAACTTTTCTCATCGAGTCTCCTGACTTCATGTCTCGCGTCAAGTCCTGGGAACTTTTGTCGAAACTGCTTCAACGCAGTTCTGGAGCTTACGGAGGGGTTTGGGCAGTTGGAAGTGACAGCAGCCAACTACAGTATGAAATCTACATGTCGATTAGCTTCATAATCTACAGTCTCCGTAGATCCATTGGGAACAAGTTCGTGTGACAAATGAATGACGTGTTTAACTGCCCAATCTTCCAGCATTTAGTCAGATTTTTGGCAGTCCTGGATTTGCTCGAAATGACTGATTCCAACTCGAGCACGGGTCATCCTTTATCTTTCAGCCTTCTCTCACGACAGACACAAAAACAGAGGACTGTCCATCTATAGCATCCTATGCCTGCGAAGAACCGTCTCCTATTCCGGATGGGTACGCACAGCTGGTTGCTTTTCAGCTGTAAGTTAAAATCATTCCGAAAGGAACTGCAATACTCTTTGAAGATGTTTTCATACCTTCTATCTCAGCCTGTATTGGCCCCGGATCTTCCTTCCTGCTCCGATGAATCTTCATCTTGTTGCAATTGTTCAGCCACGTCTTGCAGTCTCATCCCTGAAAAATCGAATCTGCATTTCTCTCCTCAACGCGTTTACTCTCGACAGCACTTCACCATGTGGTCAAATGGACTCCCTTGCCAAACTCATGAGTCAAACTTGGCACTTCATGACTCATGAGGCGAACTCTTCGATTGCGGGACTCTCATTTCCAGCAAGGAGTGGATTCCTCCTTTCTTACAAGAAGATCACTTCAAGCCGATCACTTCGAGCCGAGTACAGTTGATGGAAAATATTCATGAAGTAAAAGAATCTCGTTTCTGCTGTCCTAACAGGAGAACGGAAGCATTAGGCAGGTAGGTTTCGAGCCCGGTGGATCAGATGGCTTCAAACCTCAGGAATTATTCGATAGTTGTCGGAAAATATTGAATATACAAGACGAGGACAAATGACCAGTGATAAGGTGAAACAGGAATACGAGGAATCCCATGGGCAAATGAGAGCGAAGGAGGACAAATTGCCATCAATCGTTCACCTCTCCGCTCTCTACATGATTCTCGGAGCATAGTGCAGTAGGAAGCTGAGATCGAAGAATGCGAGTAATGATACCCTTGTCCAGGCCAGGCTTTCATGCAACTGACAAGTAACTCAGGGCCATGATGGCTCGTGTGCTTTTATCCAGCAGCAGTTTAGGTGAGGTCAGTCATTGAAGCCTGAAGCATCGAGAAAGTCAAGAGCTTGTACTAGGACAGTGCACTGTACTCATTGTGCTTTCTGTGCTGCGAAGGTTTTGATCACGATGCGTGGTAGATTTTCACCCGGATTCTTCGTTGCAGTGCGAGGTTTTACTCGCGGTCGGAGGACACTTTCGGCTTTCTTCTTCAAGTCATCATCCATCAACTGGCGCCTGGATTGCAAGCTTGTCATCTGCCAGCGAGATTTGGGGAGCTCGATGACCTCATGCTGCTCGAGGTGTTAGAGAATGTGTGCAAAATTCCTAACGAGATCGATGGCAATCATTGGCAAGGAAGGTGTCGGCTGATCGACTGATGCATAGAAAGAAGAACACACGACGACGACGACGCATGACACGTTCACAAGGCGAATATCTATTATCTGTTCGCAGGCAGGCTGCTGTTCCACCTACACAGCTGCTGCTGCTGCTGCTGCGAAGGCGGTCAAGTTCATTGCACCAAATCAATCTTCATCGAGAGTAGGCCACATCACAGCGACCTACTCTGAATGCTTCGAGATTGTCTGTATAGCGCACCAAGCATCATCTAGACGTGCTCCTGCCGAGGGGAGGGGGGGTGCCTAGCTATGTCGATCGGGAAAACGCTGGCTGCCCGCTGTCACATTCCAAACTGTCAAGTGCACGTGAAATGCGACGACTGTTGGAGCACACTGCGTCCTGATGGGAATAAGGTCTACAGCTGCGTCGCTCGCCCTCGCCCTCGCCCTTTGTCTCCTTGCACGACCCCGATCGATGGCCCGACTGTTGGGATATGCCGAACCTGCCATCGAGCGAGCCGTTCTGACATCCCTAATGCCCCTCGATCGCTGCGTTTCGGCCTGTCTCCTTCCCTTTCCGTGGAATCTTGCACTCGCCCCGAAATGTGCACGCATCGCTTGCCTCCGTCGCCCAACCGAACAATGAGCGAGCGAGCGAGTCGCTCCATCCGTATCTATTATTAAGAGAAATTAAGTTCAGAGAAATTATAAGTTCAGAGAAATTGAAAGCTACGAGCTCTCGAGCGGAAGGAAAATGGAGGGACGGGAGATCTGCTCGTCTCTCTCTCTCCCTCTCTCTCTCTCTCTCTCTCTCTCTCCCTATCTCTCTCTAGCTTGCGCCTTTGTTTCTTCTGAGACCCTCGCCCCGCCCCTTCCACTTGTGTGTGAGTGTGTCTGCAGCAGAGGCCAAATCATGACGAGCTTGGATCACGACGCTCGAGATTCTCACGAGACCCGAGGAGGGGGAGGGGTTCGAGAATCTTCTTGCACCTCGGAGGGCAGGATTCGCCGGTGGCCTCATCCAGGGGCTTCTGTTGCGAGGATTCGATGATTCGAGCAGCAGGGGAGGTGTTTCGTGCACTGCCGCCGGTGGAGTTTCTTCACTCAGGCATGCGCTGCGACGGACCGCAACGACAGAAGCAGATGCAGAAAGCTTCGATGGAAATCGGCTCAGAATTAGCGCGCGATGGAATCCGCCCGTCAGCTTTTGGGGTTCGGTGCTCCAATGCTGCGGAGAGGTGCATTCTCTTGGCCCCAGCAGAGCAGCAGAGCATCGGGGCGGCGGATCGGGTCGTCTGGCAGCGAGCGAGCGGCCTAGTAGATGGACTAGTCCGCGAGTGGAAGCAGTCGGATGTGAATTCCTGCTCCGGATGCACGAACTGCCTCGACGGGTTTCTCGCTCTCAAGTGGCTCGATGGCCTCATCGTCCCCGGCCAAAACGGCATCCACTGTATCGCAAGATATGTCTCCAGGTGCTGCTGACAGGTTTCCATGTCGACTGACGAAAGATTCTCCCTCATCAGGACCATCCATTGAAACAGGGCCAAGGGCCTCTGCCTAAGCATACCCCTGCGTCGAGAGCACACATCCTCCTCCTCCTCCTCTCTCCTGATTCCTCGACGAATCTCCAATGTCCACCACACCGGCACGCAGCAGGCAGAAAGGCAGAGCTGGAGCACGGGGCTCGAGTTCCTCGAGTCGGAAGGCGAGGCGAGGGGTGCGCTCGCGGGATACTCCGATCCCAAAAATTCCTGCCTGGACACTTTTCAACCGACCTTCCGGCGAAGAATCTTGGCGAGCAGATTTAGCGAAAGGGTCGGTTGGGGCTGTGGCTGTGGCTGTGGCTGTGGTGGGAGTGCAGCTCGTGGAGCAGCAACATGTCTGGGATTGCTGGTGCGCAGCAGACAGGGAGTCGACATCCATCGTCGAAAAGCGAAATCGTGCATCTCCATCGGGGAATCTTCGGACTCTGTTCCTAGAGTGGCCCCGATCGCTCGCTCGCTCGCTCGCTTTACAGGAATCGGCTGCAGTTTTCGACGCCGATACGATCTTCCGATGGATGCGTGGATGGTGTACGATCGTCACCCACCCATCCATTCATCTATCTATCTGTCCATCCATCCATCCATCCGGCATCTTTCCTGTTGCTCGAGTTCAATTCCAGAGTGCCAATCCGAACCTGGCTCGATTGTCTTCATGGCAAACGTCAGTTCTGTGTTGTGGAACTCTCGCGACATTATCCGCCCCTGCCTCCCCGTAATCGAGCTTAAGCTCGTCTCTAAGCCTAATCTGTCACTAATTCATTCATCATATGCTCGAGCTGAGCTGAGCTGAGCTGATCACGTTCATAGCTACCGGGCGAGCTGAGAGAGATTCCCATGACAGACAGAACGCTCAGGACATTCAGATTCTGCTCAGACACCCACTCACTACGAGGATTCGATCCTCTGGGCTTTGGGTTTCTACTACCAGGCTCTTGTGGGCATCTCGCTTTCGTCGAGGAAGGCCTCGTCTGAGCTTTGCACGGAGTTTTCCCATCGCTGACGACCGATGTCGATGTGATCGCTGACGACGTCTGGTGATCCATGTGACGTGCCTCCGATCCACGATTCTGTTCATAGAAAATGGCCTCGGAGGGCACGATCACATGTTAAAACGGTCGACTTGTGCACAATGTTGAGAAAGCTCTTGCTCTGAAGCGTGTGGGCACGGAGATGAGAGTCAAAAAGGTTTCAACCTCACAACTTTTCACGGTAACGGAGATCTCTGACGATGCGGATGACGGTCTGTTGGTCTGTTGGCATTGTGTACCTCAGGACGGCAGATCTATTATCCGGCCATTATCGACGAACCTGCACGATTGGATGAATAGTGAATCGGTCTCAGACGCTCGTTCTACTTGCAACACAGAAACGTGATAGCTAATTCTCTCTCCATCTTCAAATCCTTTCTCGAAATTTGACTTACACCGTCGTCCTATCTCCTCAAATTTAAAGGCCGGGTAAAAGTGGAAAATTCGAGCCTACTCACTGCTTCTCCCGAAATGAATCTTTGCGTCGTCGATCCAGAATCTTGGTAGATCTGCGGAAACACGACTAGCAAAGATGGTAACATCAGAATTAGGAAGTTTGATGTTGCCGATCGCTGCACATCATTGCCGACCGTCCGAATTACATCAAAAGCCCATTCTCGCGGGGTTAAGAGTAAATATGGTGCTGCCGAGTACGAAAATCACGAAGGTACAAACTTTACACTGTTCCTGTCTTTTGTCACCTTTTAGAATCCTGTCCGATATAAAGATGCTACCACATTCCCAACTTTTTCAGTTTCCGTTCTGTATACAACAGAAATAAGATTGCTCTGGATCTTCTTACCACGATGAGTATGCAGTCGAGAGTATCCATCTGTCCACGTGAACGTTAAAACGTCGTCAATCTTTTGAAGAAGGGTCTAGGAGTATCGTCGTAGAGTATCAAAAAAGTAAAGCATTCGGTTTTCCAAATTTCCAGTTATTGGTTTCCATGCGGACCGTTGATTGGGACACATGTTACACGTACAATTAAGGATGGTCGGTGCGAGGCGTCATGTCCATCTAGGACCAACAAACGACAGCGAGCGCCAATAATTCACAAGCTAAGATGAATGCTGCTTGTGCGCATGAGATTTTTCTCTGCAATGTCACTGAAATGAGATTGACCTCCGCAGCAAATTGCATCGACACTTTTTCCTGATTGTACAATCTCACAGAGAATAGTGCCACCAACGTAGTAAGGATATTACAGATCTTATATCTCAATTCATTCAATCAACAGATAAAACAAGGCTAGTCAAATATCACCAAAGTTTTCATTTTGATCGACACTCAAACCCGGGAACCAGACTAGAAAAATCCGCTAGTATACTATGTGGACACCTTCAGACGATACCATACAACTCTCAGAGACATAACACCTTATCTCAACATCTAGGCCCCCAGCAAGGTGGTCGACACAATGAAACTACAGAATGTTCTTACGATCTTAGTCTGGCCTCGAGATTACAGCACCACAAGAACTCTTATGGAAGTCACATTTGGAAAAATTTCTCCATGGAAGGTCACGACAACCTGTGCTTTATACACACCGTGTTGGATTTAGCGTTGAGGATGCACATTAGCCAATACTTCTCGACCCCGTACGGCTATGGAAACTCAAGAATTCTTGATCACTAACTCGTACGATAGCCAGTGTGATGACGTCACTGAATGGAAACTACGCAATCAATATCTGCAAAGGTCTGCTAAAATATACAGACACTGACAACGTGTCCCTTTCTTCTTATGTCTACTAGCAGATGAAAAACAAAAGAGTACTCTAAAATGACGACCTCTGAAGTCGCAATTGCTAGTCCTTGGCTCTACTTGTTTTATATGGGTATTTATCGGTGCAGTCTCCAATCGAAAGACTGCTAATCAATGAGGACAAAAATATACTTTCCTTGAGGCGTTTTTGTGTAGAATCATACCAGCAGACTCCTGCTGGTCAAGTTTGGCAGCCTGCTGTACTACTGTTCTTCTCCTTGAAGAATGTCATCATTTGCGCTGTTGACAAGGCCCTGGGCCAGCCTATAATACAAAAGCAGAGCAGTTGCCATGCACGACCTGACCGACAGAAGATGGATCAGCATCGAAAAGTGATAATCTACTGCACTGATTAGTGTGCGTCGAAATTAAGATACCCGTTAAGAAGACAAATGCAAATGTCACGAAAAATATAAACTATTCGATTGCAGAATATCAGAAGACATACATGATCGCGAACCAAAGAAGGAGCTTCCTAGAGTCCATTGAGGAGGAGTTGCGTTGCTTTCGCCGTGGACGTCCATCAATCAGGTCTTCGGCAGCTGGTGCGCCGCGACTATCCTTGTGGGATGGTGCAGTTACAGGCAAAGTTGGTAGTGCAGGCGACCAAAACGGTAAGAAGGTTCTCAATATTTGTCGATAAAAGGGTCCTGCACTTCCCAACAAACCACGTTACGACTTGAATCGCTGCAAACTTTGTCCAGTCTCAACGAGAGGAATAAGACACAGTGCTTACCGCGCCTATTGTACTTCCGATAACTTCCATCTTCATCATCATCGTAACCCATAGAAGCTGAGGGACTCATGTTATCTCCACGTAAGGAATTCTTTCTTGCCATAGCTCCATTTTGCAGAAGCTGCTGCTGCAGTTCAGAATAGCGACGAAATGGGATTTGTTACTCGGTAGTTTTGGCAAACACAACTTCGCAGAGACCAAGAATTAGATGCAAGAAAATTCCCCTCCGCACCTCCGCTCACACACGAAGAAACAAACACACATTGAATACAAAAGAAACCACGAAATCTACTCCAGTACAAAGAATCTATACATTAACGACCTCTTGCATGATATCCATAGCTGTTTTACTTACCATAGATACTGGTCCTGATTTGTTGAAATGCTGAAGGCCGGATACTGCTGACGGATTACTGCTACTACCTGGACCTGAAGAGGATGAGGCTTCACCCTCCAGGACCGATCCTGAGGTAGACCCCATGACATTTTCTTTTACAATTTCATTACTTGGAGTTGCATATCCACCAATCAACCCATCAGCTTCCAACGAAGTCCCGGCAGACCCTGCAGTGGTCGGGCCACTCTCTTCTGCGGCAGAAGAGTTTCCCACCGAAACAAGAGGTGCATTTGAGAAGGCTGGAGGAGCAGGCGATTTCTGCCCTGATACCAATTTATTATCACTACCTAGAAGAGTTGTAGCCACGTCACTCTGCACATTAAGCGCAAACTCATTCAGTCTATTGAATCCTTTTGAGCACGAAAAAAAAATTCGATCGTCCCTTAGTAGTACGTGCTGATATGTTGGTCGAAAAATACTATCGTTACATGCCGAACTCCAGAAGTCTGAGCAGGTTTAGCTTATTCAACAACATACAGAGCTGTTGAAGCAACGATTTCATGCAATCAAAGACACATTTGACCTATGGCACACTTGAAGGAGAAAGCTCCACTGGCAATTCAAGATTTAATTGCAGCCATATACCAACCTGCTGAATGATTTGCTTCAGCTTCGTATGAAGTCCTGAGCTCCCGTCCTTTACTAGTTTGGGAGGCCAGATCTGCCAAAGTATGCAGTCGTGACGTGAGAATTGATTACGGGAATAAAAATATATCAACGATTCACACACAAATATTTAGAATATGCCAATAGTTTCATACAGATTTTTGGAAGCGATGAAAGAGGCATGTTTACTCCCAAAAATTTCACCTTCAGGTGTGCTCAATGTAAGTTTGTCGAAGTTTTGAGTGAATTAGGTGCGTGGTCAAGCATAAAATATAAAGACTGGGATAGCTTTAAAGCCTTCAAGGTTTACTGTTTCTAGACAATATCGTCACATTCTAGTTGGAGAAAAATTCGTAAGCGTGAGCCAGCTTTTCGCCCTTCCTTCCATGCGAACGATGTCTTTCCGATTATGAGCTATAAACGAGCAGGAGATTAAACCATAAAATTCGAAGTTTACTTCTACGCTAGCCAGTTTGTTGTCTTGCCATTAATGACAGCCAGTGAAAATCAACAGTATCTGGCACTCATTGAATCTCGAAAATCGATGCCTCGAAGTTCAGAAACTCACTGGTGTGGAACATGATGGACACACATAACCAGCTGGGGCAGTGTGAGGAGGAAAGCTTCGCAAATGTGCCTCCAGACAATGACTGTGAAGAATATCTAGCAATTTCACAACAAAAACAGCTGTAAGAGAAGCCTTCAGCTCATGACTGAAGTGAACTAGAGCAACGTCACTGGCTTGCACAAACTTCGACACCGTGCACACAAATTGCAAAATCACAAGGTTAAGTTTCCCGACGTAAGCGGGGCACTCACGAAAGCAGCCAAGACGGGTTGTGTCATCAGTTTCTTGCAGTACTTGTTGGCACAAACCACACTTCGGAGGCCAGTCATAGTCCCCATCTATGACCCACTCAGAATATGTCTTGACCTGTCACAAACATACCGAGGGCACCATTCTTTAGCCTTCACGTTGCTTCCGAGTCAGAACCAAAACCATCAGTTCGAATATGGGTGGAAAAAAGGGCCTTACAATTACAAGTTCAGAAAAGAAACTTACGATTCTTTAGCCTTCACGTTGCTTCCGAGTCAGAACCAAAACCATCAGTTCGGATATGGGTGGAAAAAAGGGCCTTACAATTACAAGTTCAGAAAAGAAACTTACGAAGGGATTGTTTTTCAAAATCTGTATAAGCAAATACGTGACTGGAGAAATGATCAAGGGGTTACCACACATAGACGATGTTCTTGAAACGAGATGCATTCTCCACATACCGGAGCCTTGTGCACAAAACAATAAAGTTTTGTTGCCTGCGAAGCACCAAACCACAACATACGCGTATTAGCTCTCTGCTGAATGGCAAGTGTTTCTTCACAACGCTGAAAAGAACTGAGAGGCGTAGTGAGTCACTAAGCTAGCGATGCTACGGCTGTTCACCAGGTGGATTACCCACCTCCACCAATGTGGTTCCTCATCAATCACTTAGGAGATGTCAACCATATACAGCGACTCTGTGGTGACAGAATGGGAGATGAGCACTAAAGGAGTGAAGGTAATCTATGCTACAGCACGATAAACTCTTGCAATTTGTACATGTTTGACTGATCTCATTGTAAGCACCAGTACACCCTCTTAGTCAGGTATCTCACGCAAACGCAAAGTTGAAAGAGACACCGTAAGAGACACCTCAACGTCCGCGAGTGATTTGTCAAGGTCAACTGAAACCGGAGAGCAGACCATGCACGCATACTATATGGACAGCCAAAAGTGAGAGAAAAACTTCACAATGAAACTCGAGCAGCCGATTTCGCCGCAGAAATGGAGTTCAAACAAGAGCTACGTAAACTTGACTTAAGTATGTACACCGGCTTGTAGAGTAGTGAAGAAACAGGTAGCAGGATTCATTCAAGAAATCTGTAAGGAGTACACTGCACACCGGTGTTTCTCTGACTAAAATTCATGGACTGACAAAGGAAGAGCAGGGCACGAAGAAACATACGAGAGGAAGTAAACACTGCTGGCTAGTTCATGTTTCTCATCATCTGATTCGATAAGAACCACAGACTTTTTGCCTCCGAGTTTAACGTGAACCTTCACATGACTGATATAATGAAGAAAGAACTACCTGACAAGGTACTGATTTTGTTTATTTTGTTTAGGATTCCATCACCCCTCTTCAATGTTCACCAAGTATGTCTTTCCTGATCCTGTCGAGGTTCCTCAACATTCCATCCTTGCTAAAGACTTGAGTCATTACTATTAGGCCTACTCTCTCATTGAAATACCCTCATGGTTACAGACGATTAAGTCTAAGTACCAGGTATCAGCTTCTGTTTTCTAAGTAAATCGTTGTTGCACCATTGATGGACTATTTATTTCTTCTAAAGAGTCATGAACCACCTTGCAAATACAGTGGTTCATTCGGCTAAGGAAATGCCACATGCATCTGCTCGTTCGAAGCCTCAGGCAATAACTCGTCCCGCTTCAAGTTGTAGAGCATAATAGAAGGTAGTGTCCTTTAAAAAGATGCAGCCTACTGATATTAGTAACGTGCAATGCAAATAGAACTCTCCCCTTTTTTTTCAGGCCCTTGCTACAAAATTGATAGTGTCTTTTAAATACAGAGACAAACTCTAAATGCGTCAACCAATTTTCTCCTTTTCTGCGTAGATCGAACCTGTGGCAAAAATTGATGGTGCCTTTCAAGTACTAGATAAGAAGCGTATAACAAACACCACTCAGATTCTCGTCTGGTTATCCTCCGTAGTAACTTGAGTTTGATTGCTTGTCTAACATCCTCGTAGACAGTCCTGAATCTTGTGGCCCTCAACTAAAGAAACAAGTTCATATACCATCAACTTCTGTAATCTTCAACTGTAGGTTATCAGCTCCTTGCATTATACACATTTCTCCTATTTTATCTCTTAGGTGATCCTTAGGGTGCAATAGAGGAAGTAAACCGCTTGCTGGTTTCGAATTGAATTCTAGTTCACCTTGTCAAAAAATTGAGGCACCTGAAACCTGATCAAGATCCTCCTCATCCTTCAAAACTCTGAGCAGTAATAGCTCTGAGAACGTCTCGACTAGAATTCTGCTACACATGTTAGTGAAAATCCAGTGGAAGCTATTTTGTACTTGATATTTCGAACTCAGATAATAATCGTCCCAAAATCCTCTGCTGAAAGATTCCACCTTCAAATAGTTGTTCAAAGGTAATGCTTCTGGCGAGACTGAAGCACAAATTTCAAGTTCCTCCTCGACACTCCAAAAAATCCGAGAGAATTGACTGATGGGTTTTTAACAAAAGGGTTAACAGAACTTCACCTTGGAACCACTCGGCACTTGGACCCTCAAAAAATCTTCTGCTAGAGATTACACCCTGGAATGATCAAGTTGCTCTCAAACTTATGCTGCTCGTAGATGCTCGGCCACATTCTCTGTCTTCTTGTGAATCTTTCAGATCAAATGTATCAGCTAGGCCTAACTTCTTTAAGTGTACAGCTTATAGAGCTACATTCATTTTAAACTAAGACTCTATGACCTGATTTGATAAGAATCGACTAGAAATTGGTCCGTTCGACATAAAACACCAATCTTGAACACTTTGCACCACTTATAAGTTTGATCGAGACAACCCGCAGACCTTTGAAATCAGAAGCGCCTACTTCTGATATAAATCATAGTCAAGAAATGACGTAGGTCTGAAGGATAACAAAAAGGAAATAGTATTGATAGGTATACTCACAAAAGCGCTGTAATGAATGTCAAGAAAACTAGAAGGTTCACACACTACACTCTTGGTAACGTTGTGAAGCACTAGAACAAAATTAAGAGATTAAGCACACGGAACACACTGAAACAAACGAGAGGCGCTAAACTCCGAGATAGCTGCTCTATTTCGTTATCGGAGTAAACGGCTCTACGCAAGACATTCATGCTTCAATGTTGAACATCAGCCTTCATCTGACTGAGGTATATTTTGATAAAAATACTACAGATTTAAAAGAACGATGGTTGATTTATACTCGTTGAGTTGGTTATCTCTGTCACTCCCTCTGGCAGAGCATGTCACAAAAATCTCTGCTTATTCGCTCCTGCTCAGATTTTTATGACAAATCTCTCATTCTGTTTTACACCTAACTCGAAAATAACAGAAATTAAGTTTCTTCTTTCAGTGTCAGTTTTCTTTAGATGGGCTGTTGCTGATTTGATTCATAGAGTTTGTTTTGCAACGCTCTAACTTCACATCACTTCGCTTTCTTGTAGACGGAAATATTTGAGCCCAAAAGAGAGTTAGACAGAGATACACATTGTGGCAAGCACAGATAAGACCACAAAAAACAAGGTGAGTCAATCACTGACTCAAATTCCACGCATTCTTTGTGTAAATTTAATTAACTAATGCCCTTTAGTTAATTAAATTAGTGAACACTGCTAATGACAGCACGTAGTGGACAATGCTCTGGAAAGCTCTATGCAGCTTGATTTGCACAATATTCAGGTGGTCAAATTTTGAGATGATCAGGTGCTTTCATTGTTCATCATGTTCAGCCAGAAGTAAAACCTGCCGCTTCGACTTGACAGAGAGGAAGACAGTCAATTACGAGACTAAACCGGAAATTACACAGCTTGTCCGGCCCTTATATTCTCGAGTTGTGGTCAACTGTCTATCACAGTTGACCACTGCTCAAAGCTGGTGTGTTCTTATTTTGTAATAGCAAGATTTTGGTACCAGTGAAATGACTTGCGGAAAGAAATCAGGATCTTTCAAAACTCCAACATAGGTTGACGACGCAAAGTTGTGTCAGAGAAACTTTTAGAACCATTCAGGCATCATATACTACAATCTTTTGGACTCCTGCGACTGGCACGAGCTTCAGTGATTATGAGAGATTGGGCATGAATGGCTCGCCACATAAGACCGCACGGAAACTCAAACTCCGCGACCTGTGACTGTGAACGACCAGGATGGGCAAATTGAGCTATAAACATTCCTGCCCTAGATAATAACCCCGAAAATTGGTTTCTCACGGATCCGATTCCCAGAAGGATGGAAATATTTTAATGAAAGGCTTTGGCCCGTGTTTCTGTGAGGCTTAGGAGACAAGATTGGTAAGACAAAATCGTCCCTCGAGGTTCTGGAAGTTGTAATCACTCAAACGAAAATAGCAAAAACTCCTCGATAACGATCACTTCGTCTCCAGGGAGCACAGTCCCTCATTGACCGAAACAATTAGAAACTCTCGATCGGACCATTCCCTACGTAGTAAAGAGGAAGACCGAGAGAAAATGGCAGACAACATCATCCAGTCCCGAGAGAGAAAAGCGAAAAATCCCGCCAATTTCAAGTAAAAGCGAGTCGCGAAATCCTACGAAAGCCTTGGCGCTGCCTACGTTGTGCCCAATCAAACCAAGGACGGCAATTCGACGGATCGAGATCGAGGGCATGAAAGGAAGGTCGAAGTACCTTGCGGCATCTGCACACCACCATGGCCTACTCCCGGGCTCCGATCGACGTGACGCGCTGGCGGATCTGCGGAGAAATGCTCTACAGAGGCGAGACAACAAATCAAATCGATCGATCTCGCGAGAGCGCAAGGCAAGACATTCAGAACTCATGAGCAGGGCGCTAAAGCCGAAGACCGTCTACGCAGTGAACCAGCCGTGAGGAGTCCCGACCACCGGCTACCCCCGGTGGCCCCCCCGTCTCCCAGCTCCTGGGGATCCATCGGCCTCTCTCGCATCCGGTCCGCCTGTCACGGCCCGGTGATCAATCACTCCACTCACTCATTCAATCAGATTCCATGCGACCTTGTGCTCTCGTCTCAGAACAAGAACCATATCCGGTCCCTGCTACCACGTCGCATCCATGTCCTGTACTGCGTATGATGCTCTCTTGGCATACGAGGTGCAAGACGATCCTCTTGTAACGCTACTCGCTAGAACTGCAGTAATATAGGACGAAGATTTCTTTCGGTTCGGGTCTTCGCGTACAAACAAACACAATATCCCTAGGTGGCTCTGCACCCCGGTCGGACCTCGTGAGTACCGCCACCAGCCGGTGAATCGGCGGCACAGTCGGAGAGTGATGCGATGATGCCACCGGGGGCGAAAACTCTGCGCTCGCAAACGACCGGCTGGGAGAGGTTTTTCCCGGGCAGCGGCAGCATTCAGCTCGGGCAGCTGTCAGGTAGGCTGCGGGCATGGAGACAGCGAGCGTCAGCAGGGGGCGAAGGTTTTCGGGCAGCAGGAGGGGAATAAACGTATGAGGTCTGCCCTGAGGGCCCGAGTGAGTGCTGTGGCGGCTACGTTGCAGCCGCATGGTCTGTTGTAGAACCCTTTGCAGTTGCGGATGCTTGCCTTGTGGTGCGAGCACTTGACGTTTCCCTCTTCGGATTGTGTCCCCTTTCTGCACGAGAGAGAGAGAGAGATAGTGAGGTTTAGGGTGTTGGCCTTGCTTCTGAGCACGGCGGGAATTTTTGGTCTGTTTTAGCTGTCAACTGCGCAGGTTTCTCAAGTCGGAACCCCTGGATTCAGAAGCTGAGCAACATGTATTTGCTGTACGAGTCAGCATCCGGTTATGGATTGCTGGAGACTGTGGGAATCGATGAAATAAATCAAAATGTGGACGCGGTTCAAGATTCTGTTCTGGACTTCAACCGGTTTGGGCAAATTGTCAAGCTCACTGCCTTCAAGCCCTTCGAGTCTGCCGCCGATGCACTGGAGCAGATTAATGCTGTTTCGGAAGGTCAGGGTTTAGCATTGGCTCTCGTTTTTTATGTCGCATTCAGCATTGTGAAGTGAGGGCTTTAGGTTTTGTGTTTGAATGCTTTAAACCCTAAACCCTCGAGGAGCTCGCTGAGCCTGACTTGTGAGTTCTGTTGTCGAGGGGACGGATGACTAATGCTGCTGAATGTCCCCGTACAACGCAGGTATCATGACCAAGGAGCTCCAGAGCTTCTTGGAGCTGAATCTTCCCAAGGTGAAGCCTGGGAAAAAGGTGAAGTACAGTGTTGGTTTGGCAGAGCCGAAATTAGGCTCTGCAATTTTGGAATCCACCGGCATTCCCTGCGTGAGCAACAACTATGTACTGGAGTTTCTTCGTGGAATTCGTCTGCACTTCCGACTTTTTATCAAGGACTTGAAGGTAAATACCTGGTTTTTCATATTCTGCATATTGTCTGTAATTCGGTCGAACATGTGTTATTCTTCCGGGTCGACGTGACTGCTTTTGACCAGGTTTTGATCCTAAAGTCAGTGGACAGCGTGTGGCCTTACAGAGAAGAGAGCACGAGCCGTTTGTCTAGATTGTCCTGATACTAGTGTATTACTGTCTACCTTACTAAATTTGAGTAATCGGTGACATCTTTCACAGGAAGGAGATCTTGAGAAGGCTCAGCTTGGACTGGGACACAGCTACAGTAGGTCAAAGGTGAAATTCAATGTCAACAGGGTGGATAACATGATCATTCAGAGCATATGTTTGTTGGATACCCTGGACAAAGATATCAACACTTTCTGCATGCGTGTGAGGTATTATGCCAGTTCTCTCTTCAAGTTTTTATTGAAACAGACCGTAGTACAAGAGCCTACACTTCCTTGCAAAAATTTGACCGCCGATTTGACAAGTTGTGGGAACGTCTTCTTTTCGTTGAACTCGTCTGTGGGCATTTGTGCCACTACTGTTTGCTCGGTTGAATGTCAGTCTTCGTTCTTCGGACTGCTTCCTGTTTTACCTTTGTTTACCCAGGACGTTCATTTCACGTGTCTTCTCGTTTCAGGGAATGGTACTCATGGCACTTTCCCGAACTTGTAAGAATAGTGAACGACAATTACAACTACGCCAAGGTAGCTAGGTTCGTGAAAGACAAGTCTAAACTAGACGACGATGCCATCCCTGCACTGACGGAAATTGTTGGTGACGAGGATAAAGCCCGCGAAGTAGTCGAAGCTGCGAAAGCATCTATGGGTACGTATTTGGTAGAGCACTCTAGTTGGAACAATCTTTGGGTGCACATTTGTGTTATTTTGAAAATGTTTGACCAAACTTTTGGCTGCAGGTCAGGACATTTCTCCAATCGACTTAATCAACATCGAGAACTTTGCTCTGAGAGTTGTGGAATTGGCTGAGTATCGTAAGCAGCTGCATGCTTACCTTGTTACCAAGATGCAAGACGTTGCTCCTAATCTTGCTGCTCTTATCGGCGAGATGGTCGGGGCTCGACTCATCTCACACGCTGGAAGTCTGACCAATCTGGCGAAGTACCCGGCCTCGACCGTCCAAATCCTCGGTGCGGAGAAGGCTCTGTTCAGGTAATTCTGCTACTGGTCGCTTCTCTTTCTTACCGATACTCGTGTAGGTATATCTAGCCTTTGGCCCTGTTCTTCGACCCTCTACAGTAATGACGAGAGGTTGCACGCAGTTGACGCGCACTAAGTGTACGTGTCAGTCACAATGACAATTATGACTGTCTCCGAATGTTCAAAATGCTTCTCAGCTAATTCCTTTCAGATGTGTGCAGTAATCGTCTTCTTATTTATTTTCTGTCTTTCTAAATCCTGGTCTGTTGTATGTCTCAGAGCTCTGAAAACCAAGGGAAACACTCCCAAGTATGGTCTTATCTTCCACTCGTCCTTCATTGGAAGAGCGACGGCTAGAAATAAAGGAAGAATTTCTCGTTATCTCGCGAACAAATGCTCAATCGCCTCTCGAATTGATTGCTTTTCAGGTTAAAATCTGACCTTTTCACTCAGTTTGTTTGACTGAAAAATTTTTGCTTATCCTTTCTCTGCTTTGTTTTTGCTGATGTGAGAGTTTGTGATTCCAGAGGTTGGGACCAGTGTTTTTGGAGAGAAGCTCAGAGAGCAAGTAGAAGAGAGGTTGGAGTTCTACGATAAGGGAGTGGCACCAAGGAAGAATGTGGACGTGATGAAGGATGCCATCAAAATTGCCGGAGAAGGAAAGACGGACGATATGGACGAAGACGAGCCTGCTAAGCTTGAGAGTAATGCACCGTTTGCTCTCTTTGGAGTGCACATTCCCTGGAGGATCATGTTTTGGTAGGAAGGATAAACAGTGAAACTTTATTTCTCACCTTGTTTTAATCTGTTGCAGACGGTGATAAGAAGAAGAAGAAGAAGAAGGAAGGTAAAGAGACAACTGCTATGGAAGTGGAGAATCCTGTAACAGAAGCTGGTAAGTATCATCAAGTTTCTAGTTATTGTGTGCCCACACTTCAGTTTTATGTTTTGGTCTAGCTCAGTAGCGGAACTCACCAACAACTCAAGGTTTCTTATCCTCTCGGAAATAAATGTTCAGATGGCGAAAAGAAGAAGAAGAAGAAGAAAAAGGGTGCCAAGGCAGAGGATAATGCTGTTGCGGCCGCAGAGGTTGTTGCCGCTCCTACTCCCGTCGAGAACGGCAAGTCGAAGAAGAAGAAGACTGTGGTTACGCAAGAAGTGGTTGAAGAGGTGGAGGAAGCCGTACAGGAAAATGGTGGGAAGAAGAAGAAGAGGAAACACGTGGAAGTGACTGAGGTGAAGGCTGTATCGATAGAAGAAGAGGTGGAAACACCACAAAAGAAGAAGAAGGACAAGAAGAAGAAAGCTGCAAGTTAGTATTAACTCGAAGTCATTTCGACTTACATCGTAGATCCTCATCTCACTGCAGTACTGGAACCATCGAAACCCTTCCAATCTGAAGCAATGCACGTGCTCTCGTGGTACTGTCACTCCGGGAGCAGTGTGCCCAGTATTTCGCAGAGTGGTCTCCGCTTGCTTTCTTTCGAGCACTTGGCTCTGACAGTAGCTCTTGCTGAGCATGAGCAGGAGCAGGCGAAGCGAAGACGTGTTCATTAATCTCAAAGTGGTTCTCTTTTTTTGAAAGACAGAACCAACAAGCCAACTGTAATTGATAGGTTTGACTGTTGAGTGCTAGCCGACATCATGGCTGAGTCATTCCCTTACTTCCGGATATGCTACAGATTCAATTCTGTGATTTTGTACGATTGTATGCCCATCAAGTTGAGCATATCTCTGATATGAAATTATACCTGTCCCCAGGTAGAGACCTTCACTTTTGCTGCTTGTCAACCGGCTTTCATGACCACATTTATTTGAGTTCAGAGACACATCCTAACTAAGTAGTAACATGTCTTCTACTGGACAGTGTTGGCCCAAACGGTTCGCAGTTTGGAGGAGTAATTGGACTCCTGCTTCCACACTGAATCTTCAAGTCGGATCTGGTCAGGATTTAAGCATTAGGTGTCACGGAGGGCTGCTCCGTTTGAGACATTCACACCGCATGAGCTGGCGTGTCCTGACACGAGTTGCCGGAGTGCTGCTGGTAGTGTGCCCGCTGTGTTATGAAGAAGATTAGTGCATTTGTGACATTTAGTTGTCTTGTGGCGCAAATAAAAGCACTAAGCTTGAATTGCCGTAAAGCCGGTGCCATGACTGGTCTACATACAGGATTAATAGTCCAAGATTTGAGATTGCCAAATACGACTCCTTCGTCATGGTGAATGACATGTCCATAGTGGAAACCCCTCTTCTGTTATGAAAGCAGAGAAGCGAGAGGTTTGAAGACCCGGTATGAACTTCAGGCTTGGATGGAAAGCCGGCGGATGTGATATCTTTACCTGAAAGTATTTGTCGAAAACTACCAAACACTGTTCACGTGTGTCTCGTAGTAAGCCCTCGTTGTAACCCCTTCAACCGTTTTGTCAACGAGGACAGCCGGAGCTCGTTTTCTCTAAACAAGCAGTTTCTGGTGAGATATGGAGTAGAGAGTACGTCTTGTCTACGAAACGGCAGATTCGGTTGTCATGTACTGTGATGGACGGTGGAAGCTAAGAGTTTGCCAAGTCAAAAGGAATTGGTCGTCGCACATACGACAAACCAAATATACTTAAAAGTTGGAAAATTGCGAAGATGTATACCAACACCTTGTATTTGTGGGCTTTTACAACGCCTTTTTGCGAAATTCAAGAATACTACTACCGTCGAATGTCATTAAGTGAAGTCGTTCCACACCTTTCTGCAATGAAACGTCACAGCGACGGACGTCGTCTCTCGTGCTACCCACAGAGTTTTTGGTGCTATTCACAGTAAGACGATTCGTTGTGGTAACGTGTGAACTTCTATGGTTGAAAGAATATGAGAGAATAGGCAAAACTTGCTCAAGACAGGTGAAGAAACTACCTCCTGATTTGCTGTCGCAGATCATTGATGAAGCAAGGCAGGAAGAATACTGTTCATCATGCCAGTCATTAAGAAAGATACTCAGGTACCCTCAAGTACCCTCATAGAGCCAGTCGCGGAAAAGGTTGGTTTGCCATATCAAGGAGTGTAAATGATTGAATCAACCATCCTTGTTAGACTTGAGGATCAGCGTGTTGGTAATGAGAACGAAATATAGAGCAACTTAGACCTCCATATTGGAGTTATAAGGCTTTGAACCCAACCTCTTAATTAGGCCAGGTATGACAGTTGGGACAACACTTACCGAACGTATAGCTGGATGGAGGAGCAGGAGATTTTCTACTTTCTGTTTGAGAATAAACAACTCTCTCTTACGGTTTTTTCAGGGTTGTGGAATAAAGATGAAACTGCGCAGACTTTTGATAATTTCTTTGAAAAGCAAAGTCAAAGATAAGACAACTAGAGCTGAAAATGCTAATGTTCGAACTTGCATCTTTTATTTCCAAAAACATGGCTATAAGAATAGTCCTTGTATGTCTAATTTGGATCAAAACTTGGAAATTCTGTGAACTGGTATTCAAGATTCCCTTGTTTTTGACAGACGTTCGAAGAGTTTAATTGGCTTCGCATATCTATGCTGATGTATTGTCTTTCCAATTTTTTTGCAGATTGAACACACATTGTGAGAACTATGGGATGATTAAGCTATCTTGGTCTGAGGGGCATCACTGTCATGATGTTCACGTGAAGCGTGATGGCTCCTTTGCTATAAGACTTTGTATATAACCTCCACCATGTGTCTAGAGAAACTTCAGGTTGTGTGAATTTTTATGAGGATTTAGTGTGGCATATTTTGCATGAGGACGAACTAATATAATGAAGTGACGCAAGTGGCATGAAACAAATTATTCATGAGTGTGTTTGAATTGGCTGGTCTTTATACGTCAAAAGAGGACCACGTTACTGACGCTGACGCTGACGTGGAGATTAATGATCCAACTCGATTCAACAATGCGACCCACCTTATAGAAAGCTACGCTCCTGGAGCTGCGGAGATGAGTATAGCCTCTAACATCCGCAATGAAGTGGAAAAGATCATGGATGCCCATAAAAGAAAAATATTTTGTTATACGATGTGCTAGGTGTTTTAAGATCGGCATATCGGTGCACAATTGTCCTTGTATTTCTCTTCCAGAAAAAACTTTAGACGTGTCCAACACTAAGTTATGGAAAGAAAATGTTTTTAATACTGATGGTTGCTTTGAATCTCCCTTACCACAATTGCTGACAAGTGGAATGGGACACTTGCGGTGCAGCTCGAGATATACTGACTCATCATGATAGATATTAGTTCTCTCAAGTCCATCCGGTGTAACAACGTGATGCCAAGTCTATTATGGCAATTTGGACAAATGGAGTGGAATAAGCAAAAGATCTTACCATTGCAAAGAATTTTCCACTCACTGAGCAAGAAGTTTGTATTTTAAGCATTCCTGCGCTTGACGGAGAGCAGATCTGGACAACTACTGAGTCATTCAGAGACTTACACTGGAATGTAGTAAGGCCTCCTCACCTACTCATGATAGTCAGTGAAGACTAGCAAATTGTCAAATACGAAAGGGCCAACTGCGATTTCATGATCGTTTCATCGTCCGTTCTGCTGAGTGCAGCAGTCAGACCGACTCTTAGACCGGATACATAAATTCCAGACGTCGTCTAGAATTTACAGCTGCAACTGCTCTCTTCTAAATTTACAACTCCAACAGTGAGGGATTTGTGCTAGAGCGGTTAGGCGTTCCGGTGGGACTATTTCGCTGCTGACCTCCAGACTTTGCAGATGCCATACATCTGTACTTGATGGCCAATTTACTCCAACCTCGTTGGATGGGCCCACTGGATGTGACTGCCTCTGAATGGTCTACATCTTGGGGAAGTTCGTGCTCCCAAGGTACGCTAAGACTGGGCTGTCCAAGGGCTGGCTGCATAACCAGCCAGACGAGGGCAGGAAGACACTCTCCATGAGTTTCTCCAGACGAAGATCGGTGACTTGTCTCAGATCCTCATGGATCCTCGAAGGCTACTCAAGCACGACTTTACGAGCTCCCTCGACGTCCGACCACCCAAACGTATCGCAGGCAGCTTGGCACAAAGAGCGAGCGAGAGCCCAGAAGATGGTAACATGCAGCACGAAGAACATCTCACAGACAAACGGCCGAAGCTGTCTCCTGCACTCCGCTGCAAATTGTACTGAACCAGAAGACCTCAGATTCAGCCTGTGAGCCTCAGTAGTAGCTCGAGCGTAGCAGAAGTCGTGACTCACTACTGCTGCACTCTGCATTGTGCCACAGAAGTGTGCGTTGGGCACATGGCATAGTAGATTTGTAGAGCAATTGAATCGTTTTCTCGCTTCTTTGCCCATAAAATTTGATCGTTTACGCCCAACACTGCAACTATACATTCTTTGATACAATTTTTCTGTATTATACGATATTATACATCCTGTACAGATGACTGGCTGTATAATACAACTCAATAGTAGTGAGCTAGTCACTAACCTCTCGGCACTCGAAGTGACCTGACCTGACGTTCCTTGCCAAGTAGAATCGCGAGCCTCACATCTCGTGGCGGGCAAACGAGGGAACATGAGATCGTTGTGTCCAGTCCATTCATATGCCAACAGTTTGGCCAAGCCCCCGCTGCCAGTTCTCCCCCCTTGGGACGACAACGGCATTCTGTATCTACTCCCCATCCTCCTCCTCCTCCTCCTCCTCTTCCGCGTCGTCGATCCCGGTCGGGTTCACGGATCTAGGGCGGCTGCAGCTTTGGGAACCGGGACACCCGGTTCTAGGCTTGGCCACGGTCCGGTCCGACGGTTAACCGGTCCGGGAAAAAAATTCTCCAACTTCCCTGCACCCTGGCGCAAAGTCGAAGTCTCTCCAATTCGAGAGCGTTTTCAACCGGGAGGATTTTCAACAGTCCGAGTGGGGGCTCATTTGAGTACTCGAGCTATGGCACAATTCCTCCTTCACTCCCAGCCCCTCCCGTCGGCCACGTAGGGTCGGGACATATGGTTAACCGGTTAAAACCTAGGTTAACCGTTAACCGATATGGCAAAATGCCGGACCGGTTAACTTACCGGTTAACCGGTTAATTTGACCGGTTAACCGGTCCGCACATTTCCCGGACCGGTTAACCGTTAACCGGACCGTGGCCAAGCCTACCCGGTTCCTTGCCAACCGACAAGGACAGATCGACTGTGACTGTGCTACCCGGGGTTGGCACTTTGGTTCGAACCATAGAGATGGCTCGGTGTGCTCTGTCCGCGATTTTGTTTCAATGACGAACATGTTCACTCCCTAACTTAGCGGTCCACTTGCACGACCCTCTGAATTGTTTCCTTGTAAATATTACAAATTGGTTCTATAAAATTCGGACATTGTTCTTGCTTCTCAATCTATTTCTCACCATGAATCTAAGGGTGCCTACCGCTTTTTTTTCCTCAAGATTGAAAATGATGGTTTTTGGCCTTATATTCACTATTTTTCAATGTGGACCAGATCAGTAACAAACGATAAATAAAAGAAGCAACTTTTGGGTCTAACTTGAAAGTTTACTGAATATCGTTTACATCACAATTTCAATGTACGAGCTAATTATATACAAGTGTTATTTTGTGAAATTACTCGGATTTTCAATGTACATAAACTTCAATTTCATTTATATAACCGCTTTTCATATTCTTTGTTAAAGACCAAGTTGAAAAAGTTAATAAAAAGATTTCATATTGAATGATTTCTTTTTCTAAGAATTTTTTAGCATGGTTCAAATATCTTTACATTACATGAATTGAAAAAATCTATAGTACTTTTCTTATATATCATATCCCAATATAATAATATTTCAATCAATATACACTTTCAACAGTGTAATCGCACTCAAAGAGCTCTCAAAAACCTAAGTACTACATTTGACAACTTTTATCAATATTTCTCATTTAAAAATAATAATATTAATGTGCAAGTAAATTGTAAATTTTATTTCCATTTTATTTTTTCCTTAGTGTTAATATAATTTGAAAATGAATATATTATGATTAATCAAATCTTAAAACTAATCAAAATCGGTTCTAGTTTATTTTATACACTATTTTGACAATGTTTGAACATTGGTTTCAAGCAACTCACTGATCTTTATCTAATAAATCCAACTCAATGATTGTTGCGAAATACAAAGGTTTTTCAGAGTGAAACGTAATGAAATAATTTCTGTTGTAATTTTATTTTCTGTCATCGATAACCTCTTAGTTTTATTCAAATTTGGTTTGATCGTATACAATTTTTTGTTACTGAGTATACTATTCTTTATACAGCAAAAGTTTTTTTGAGCTCAATGTTGCATGCAACTTATTATTCTTTTCAACTTGATGAAAACATTTGAAAATTACTTTCCAAACAACAAGCTTTGAGATATCTTCGAGTATATCATCCCAACTTCAAATGTTATCACAATTTTCTCGCAGTCGATGCACTTTGTCTTCCTCAATATCTCTTGATTGGCAAAATTTTCTCAGTGAGTTCCCCATTATGCTTTTCCCCGTTTTAGAAGCTCACAAAGGTTCATTATCACACAGAGGGTTGCTAAGTTCCTAACGACATGCTCAATTCATACTTTTTTTTAATGTGTTGGATGACAGTAACTAAGATGGTTGCTATTCATATGTGAGTTATCGCCTTGTATATTTCCACGTGAATCTGTTCGGGTTTATGGGTTCGACTTTTGCGGGCGATTGACGAAGAGCAAGGCTTTTGTTCCTCTAACGACTTCCTTCTTTGGGTTTGGTTGACTGCATTTCAAGGGACCTGACCGAAACCTTCATCTTTATTTTTATTTTAAAAAAATAACCTTTATAGTTTCAAAAATAATATAGAATAAAATGGATAATTTAATAATAGAAAATCTTAGTGATGATTCCAAAAAATAATTTTTTTAAATCATGTAAAAATATAATTTATTTATTCTACCATCAAAATTTATAAATTAAAATATGGATTTATGATTAAAAAAATAACATTTGATCATCTCATTTATAAAAGTGTAAATCAATATATTTTTTTAAAACTATCTATCAACAGCTTTATATGTGTTACTGTGAATTACAATGAGATTAATTCTAATAATGATATTTGAGAAAATAGTTTTTCATAATTTTCATCATCTCTTTTATGATTTCCAATAGTTAATATTTTAATTTGGGTTATGAAGTATAAATTTTTATACAAAGAGTATAGAAATAAAAAGTAAATTCGATTTTATTTACGTTTCAAATATATGTATATATTGAAACAAAAGTCATATCAAAATTCAATGCCATCAACCCAAATCAATGTGATGTGTTTATTCAATATTAATGACGAGAAGTTATCCATTACTTACCTCAGTAACCACTTGTTTTCTATGTAACTCACATATGGCTGCTCACTAGGCAAATCTATTCATATGAAATTTATATTCATATGAAATCTGCTTGTTGAGTGGGCATGATTTAAAATATTGCACATTTTAGTTTCAACCAGTGATACTTATGTCCAAAATATGCGTTTATGATTGCATTGGCTTCTTGCTTCATGTCTCCGTTACCTTTTCTGATCTTTTTTTAATGTTTTCAAACAATGTTTGAAAACAAATCAATTACACAAACCGTTAATTACTTCCCTATCATAGGACACTTACATATATGTGATTGAACATTTACTTCGGTCCATTGAACCTAAACTCACAGCCCTTGCGAACTAGGTACAATCTCAGTTCTTACTGCTAAACTGTTTCAACTCTTCACAACGACCTCACTATGGTTGCCCCTACATGAATCTACTTACATGTACGTATATACATTCTCTTTCCCAATATCTACACGTGGCTCGCAAAAATGCACTCGCTCAAATATGCAATTTTGTGGCAGTAATACCAATTGCTTTCAGATAAGCTCAGGGCGCTTTATAAGTTATCTATTCTTTCCTGGGCGCCACCTTTGAACCATCTTTTGTCCTCTTCCAATCCCTGCTGCTTCGGCAAAATCACCACGCCCTGCATCCAATCCTTCTTCTATTCATTCCCTGTAGCTACGGCATAATCATTACGCAATACATCCACTCCTTGCTGCTTCAGATTGATCACAACACCATCCAACCACAAACCGCCTTTCTCATTAGTGTTTTCAGTCTGGTCAATTGAGTATCGCAGATTAACTCGACCAATTCCGGAGTCATTTTCTCCCTCTTCTATAGTAAAATCTCCGACATAAAACTCTTTCCAGTCCGTGTCTACGGGGAATGCTCAGCTTCTGCGCCTCTCCTTATAGTCTCGTGCCTTTGGCTGCCATAGGCACGGAGTGCGCGGGATGAGGATTGTTGCAAAAAACCCTCTTTACGCACAACCTCATGATCATTGACTGACATTGCAAACACAATAGGCCTGGAACGATCGGAAAACCCGAACGCGCGCTCCAAGGCAAACCTCCACGAGAGAGTGTACGTGCCGACTGGTAGAGAACACTCCATGCTCCCGTTAGCACTCAACCACCAGACTCATTTGAGATACGCCGATTTGTCATAACTGCATTGTAATAGAATTTCAGTCAGTCCGAACCTCATTCACCGAAAAAGCCTCTACTTCAGGCGAATCTCACAAACTGAGTGAGTTCTGACAAACTTCCTCTGTTCGGAGCATAGACATGTTGGCTTGAACTGTCGTGATTCATGGTGGTTCAATCTTGTATGCATTTGTCCCAACTTCCATGATTTACGATGTTTCATGCAGAGCGTACAAGCAGCGTTTAAATTACTATGGTGTGCAGTTGTGGGAAAGCTGAAACCTGGGTAAAGATTCAAGGATCCATTGATTTCGAGTGGCAGACATCGGGCCCAATGTCGCCGAAACAATTGAGAAAGTTCAAACGCAAGTTTACGTGGAACCACCTCGCTGATGCCATTCCCAGTATCGGTTATCATCACCCCATGCGATACCTAGGGCTTCAGCTCCTTGACTTCGACAAACTCCTAAAGGCGACCTCACTAGCCAATAAGACTGAACAAAAATATCAAACCGACGTTGTCAGTTCCTTCACACATGACATAATCGCAGACAAAAAGCATAAGACGAAAGATAGATGAAGATGCTTATCAGCGTGTCCATTCGAGTCCAAGTAGAAATGCACGAGCTATCTTTGTTGACATGCAAAGTCAACAAAGAATCGTGGGCAGAGATCAAACAAACATCAAAAAATTAACAGTTTAAACCAACGATGGTTTGTCGGCAGACACCAGAAAACTGACAAAAACACAACTTCGGGCATTCACAAAGACATTTCTGAATAGAATTTCGATTGCTGATGTTGTCTTCTTAGTGAGTGATGTGTGCTGCACTGAAGCAAGAACAGGAGGTGTGATGAAACCCTAAAACAAAAACCTCATTAGTGAAGATGAACAATTTATATACATCGAAAATCATCTTTTACAGATCACAACAACAAGTGATTACTAATATAGATAGCTGTGTTTAGATGGCGGGCAGATACGCTTGCCATCTAAACACATAGGAAGGAGGAACGAGCGGAGCGAGGATAATTTTCGGTAATCGCACCAAGAGATGACGATAGAAGTGGAAAGGGAAGTGAGATGGCATAAAGATGGCATGAGAATGAGAGTGTAGCATTTTTATTTGCGATAATTGCTCGCGAGTTAGAAAGTTAAAAAAGACAACAATGGAAGTCTCTGACAATTCTCGCTGTACAAAAAAAATTTGCGAATGATGAGACAATAGTACAGTCCCTCCCCCACACTACACTCCCGCCAACTATAGTCAGATATTGTCACCCCCGCACTATAGCCACCCACTATATAGTTCCAAGAGACCTTTGTTTAGACATTTTCTAGGAATCAATTCATTTGATACAAAATCTGCTTGTTGAATGGACATGACTAAGAATATTGCACATTTTGGTTTCAACTAATTATCCTAATGTCAAACATAGGTGTTTATGATTGCATTGGTCTTATGCTTCATGTCTACGTTACCTACTCTAATCCATTCTTGTCTTTCTTATATTATAATTTGTATTGGTACAAATTATTTACATCAAAAATCATCTTCACAGATTCAGCCATCAAGACCACAAAGGAGAAGTGCAAAGGTTTTATAACGGAGTAAAGTAAATCCTTGAAGCCAATACTTTCGACCATGACAATAAAAATATCAAGTAAAATTATAACAAAAGTAAAGACGACTTTCCAAATATACTTTGGACCGGGAAGGAACTCAACCTCGTGACCATGAAGAGGGACCTTGCTGCAGAGATAATCGAATATTTGTTTTTTAGAATCAAAACCGCGTGCGCCATCCTTTGCCTTCATAAGAACTTCAGTATAATCTTTCGGCAACTTGGCTTGCCAGACAACATCCGAAAGAGATGCACTTCGGAACACGCGGTTAGTGCAAGCCGACATGGCAATGTCTTTGGGATCAAGGAAGCTGAGTAAGTGCTACACAGGGCTCGGGCAAATATTTAAGTTCAGTGCCACCCAACTGCAAGTCGCTAGCCGCTTGATCAAACTTGAGTTCACTGGGAGCACAGGTGATCATCGGCTTCATGACCTCGGCCATTAGTCTTCCCTTGAATGTTCTTCAACAACAGTACCACGAACTCTCTTGATCACAAGTGATGAAGACGGCCTAATACCGCACGATCAAGTTCGTGAATGGCTCCTTGTACTCGTCAAGTATATGACGAACATAGACGTGGGCAAAGTAGCTCGTAACGACTGTAAGGAACATCATCAGAATCTCAAATTACACTGAAAGATTACGTGGAGAATTTGTAGTGTTGGGACCTCAGATCCGCAACTTTCAAAAGCTGCACGTCATTAAGCAGTGAGAATCTGTCCTTGCTATAGGTCCATGACTAGGTCAGTATAAGACATGCTTCGCTACAATTGCAGAAATTCAGATTGCGCTCTCAGAATCGTAAAAGATGAACTGTTTTGGAGCCGGACATACCTAGAATTCACAATTTTGTGGTAATATTTCCGATGCTCTGAACACAGATCTCTTTCACTACGGCCTTCGGAGATGAACAAAATTCGAATCTTTGTCCAGTCGCGATCTTGGCTTCATATAAGATCAACGCAGTTGATGCGGAGCAAGCAAAGCCTTCGAGAGGACTTCCGTCACCTTTATGCCACAAATGTCTCCCAAGGCAAAGAATCTCATCGTTTGCGTGTGCCCATGCTGAGAACTTCGAGGGGACAATATCTAATGCAGACAGAAGATCTGCGCTCTCAAAATCGTAAAAGATGAAGCGTTGTGGAGCCGGAGTTACCCAGAATTAACAAGTTTTTCGTACAATTTCCGACTGTCTGAACACCGATCTCTCTCACTACGGCCTCCGACGAAGAACTAAATTTGCGATCTCGGCTTCATATAAGACCAACGCAGTCGATGCGGAGCAAGCAAGCCTTCAAGAGTACTTTCCTCGCCTTTCTGTACAGGATTGTTCTACTTTTTTATGGAATTGATTATTATTTTTTGTGCAAAGAGTGTATTTGTGTAAACAAATTATTTAATAATTTAGTTAATCTAATAATTATTTGAGTTATCTTTCCTTGAATATGATAATTTCTCAATACAACTCTTATAGTTACTTCATGTAAAATAATAAAAAATTGGTACCTAATATAGATTAGATTAGAGAAAAGTATATGAACATTGATTAATATGATAGAATTCAAATTCCATGTATATATATAATTCATAAATTTCAGTATTTATTGAAATAAAGTGAGAAATTCTTTATTTACTTTTGCATTTGAGTAAACTAATGGTTAACAAGACATATCTCATTTTGAAATTAGATAAATATAACTCATTTCTTGATCTATGAAATCAATATCATCAAGTATTTAAAATAAACTTAATATTCTAGTGTGATACAATTAAACTTGTCTAAAACAATACTACTGGACCAGGGCGTAGGTATTGAATTAGAATGGGTACTTTAAATAAATTGAATTGATCACCATAGCAGTCGCATTTGGGTAGGGTACAACTCGAAATGTTCAAGAACAAGTCAACTCTCAAACAGATAAAAGTTGTAGATAGTTCATCTTTGGGACGGGGAGAGCTAGCTCTAGATCGGATCATGCTCTAGATAAAGTAATCCTAGAACCTAGAATAATATTGGATTAAAATAAATTTTGGTAGAATATACAAATTTTATTTTTAAATCATTATAAAAATCATTGTTTTGAAAAGGTATCTCATCACTAAGATTTTTTATTTCTAAATTAATGCATTTAATTCTATTTTATATTTGAAACTAAAAAGTTTATTTTTTAGATAAAAAGATGAAGATGAAAGTTTCGGTCAGGTCCCTTCAAATGCAATCAACCAAACAAACAAATACAAAGTTGGAGTGTGAATCACAGCAAAAAGAAGCACCATTAACACAAGCCATGTTCAAAACATGTCATGACACATGAACAATACTCTCTAAATACGACAATTGGACTCTCAAGTTCCTTATTTGCAGCATTTTATTTTCAGACATTTTTGTATTTTCAACAAAAAAATAATCTGTTATCTAGATGGCTTTACTGGAGAAAGTTATGAAATCATTCAACTAAAACTTTACGTGGACTCTTTGTGACAATGTCTTTGTTGATCTAGGTGATTTTACTAGAGTAACTAACGGAGTCATTCAACTAAAACTTTACATTGACTTTTTGTGACCATGTCTTTGGTGATCTAGGTGGTTTTACTAGAGAACCTAATGGAAGTACTCAACTAAAATTCTGAGTCGAAATTGGATCAGTTCAACCAGGTAAGTTCTAGTATTTTGACTTGCTTACCTCAAGAACTTGTAATTTTAAAAGCACGTAAAAAAGTTATTCTACCAGTTCTAAACATCAAGATATTTTCCAATTTTCTTGGAAACAAATCTTACATTGTCGTCGATTTAGATCTAAAACATCACAGATTTCTGTCAAATTAGGATAATTTGTTTCGAGAATTATATTTATTTTGTTGAGATACGTAACATACGGAATCCGCACTGTATAGGGAGGCTACAAATAAATACTTCTGAACTCACCCACATGCCACCGAACATCGCCTCAACATGCATTTGCATTAATTTTATGTACTGACTTCTAGTTCGGAACATGCCGCCAGAAAGGTCCTGACTGGTCAGTAACAAATGTATCCTTTAATAGCAAGCACAGATCCCACTGCGATCGGATCCGTTGCGTTCGGGCTCTGAGATTCTCAATCTCAGTGCCTGCGGGTGCAAATTTGGACCTCGCAACCAATCCAAGCAGGCAGGCACTTCGTTTTGCACTCCGAGGCTGAGTGAGGAGGGTCTTAGAACTTAAATCTCCTCGTGACATGGCCAGGAAATTAGAGCTATTAGCACGAACGGGCTTGTGGGAGATCGCGTTCTTGTCTATTGGTGTGAATGCATCTCACTTACGTGGTGGATGCCCCAAAAGTCCAGAAACGTTGAACTGTAGATACGACGATGTATGAAGTGATATATAGAGATAAACCTACCAATACTGACATATATTGGTAGTTAGGTTTTGCGACACTATTGCGAGGTGTCTTTCACAAGAGTCTTATAAACTCATAATACTTATATATATATTAATATCTCCCAATACTGATATATATTGGTACTTAGGTTGTACTTCATTATTGCGAGGTGTCATTCATAAGAATAGTATATAATCATAATAGTAATATATGTTGGTGTTAAAATTGGATGACATTGTTGAGGTGTGTATAAGTTTAATATAATCTACTAGTAGTAACATACATTGTTGTTAGGGTTAGATATCATTATTGGAAAATGTCAATTATAAATAAAAAAATTTGTCAGATTTCTTATTGGACATTGTATCAATCATAAGACTTTCTATAAATGTGTTGTTTGGTTTCAAAATGACCTTCATTTGCACATCTGTATTTTTAACATGTACATTATAATTACATTTCAATTTATATAAATACACACAAATCTGAATGAAACAATTAATGATATATGTGTAGCAAATTATGGGTTTAAGGTTAAACCCTAAATCTTTACTTAAATTCAGAAAATGTGAATTTTTTATATATAACTTTAAATATACTTATGATACATTTTTTTAGTCTCATAACTATGTATTGTGATAATGATAGGAATTTTTACTATGAATACATTTGAAATTATCACTATTGTATAGTATCATGTCACTATTGGGAATAGTGACGTATCGTTCATATCGAGCAGATTTACAAGTCAGAAATTAATGGTTCTGGGATTTTACGTCACTAATGAGAGTATGTCACTCACAAGAGTTGACACGATTGGAAGGTTTAACTCTTGTAGTTTGCAATAGAAGCTTCTTGATCTATTGATGACACGACGAACACCTTGAACTTTATCTACGTAGTGAAAGGAGTTAAATTTCCCCAGAGTTGCTATTAAAGGGAGGAAAGTGATGCTGCATCACTTTCTTTTTCTCGTGCATCACTAATTGGCAGGCCTCTCTATATATAGAGAACTTTCTGTTTTTCAACCAAATAAGGATTATTATAAAAACAAAATACTTAACATACGGACTTTAGTGCGAAGCTCTCGTCAAAAATATTTGAATTTGAGTAAACTTTCGAGAAATATGGGTGTTATTTTATATGCGAAGATACTTTTTCCATCTAACCATTGAAAAAACGATTTATAGGGTAGCCGTGTTTGAAAATATACATGGTAATCTTACAAAGAACTACATGAGTAAAACTAATGCTCGAAACAGTCCAAGCCTTACTAGAATCAGATAAGATTTGTCTGTCAAACGATTTAAAGCATTGCCAAGTAGATGTTCATGGTGCACAAAGACCAAAAGCTGCTTGTGTTCATCCACTGTTTGATCAATCTAGTTTTGTTGCCAAAAAACTTCCTAACAATCTTCACATTTCAGAATTATATCCTGTTGTTTTCAAAACTTCAAATTCATGAGGTAAAAAAGTAGTCAAAATGTTGGAACTCGACTGGTTAACTTCGATTTTGATTAGATTGCAAAGTGCTTCCAAAACATGCAGAATGCCAATCCATCCAACCAATTTTAACAAGTTTGTCGGAGTATTGAGTATCACGACTTGCAATGCATTGTAACATATGTTTTGGCTGCAACAAAGTTTTGCTACCTACAACTTTGCATGGTCACTTTGTAGCGGGTTCTGTGGAATCAAAAAATGTAGTTAAATTAAACAATGGTGCTAGTGACTATTTAACCTAAACAACTATTTAAGAGCTTTTAACAGCGGAAACGGAGAGTGGGAACATATATATGAAGAAAAAAAAATATTTTCTTGAAAATCAAATACGATAGCGAACTCCATTGACAGATTTCCGTATTTAGAAAGTTCTGCTGATGCACCAGCAGCAAGTGTTTGTCTTCCTGCAAAGCAACAGTTGTTGACCTTTAGGCCTTCCTATATAGGGCAGATTACTTATTTTCCGTATCTCAACAAAATAAGGATAATTCTCAAATCAAAATACAGAATATACTCAACTTGATAGTTTCGGCCGAATTTTGACCTAAACTCTCATGTTTTTGGCCTAATTTGTCGGCAATGTAATTCACCTTCGAGAGAAATGGGTGTTATCTTTGATCTCTGAATATCCTTTTCCCATTAGCACGGAGAAATCACTCTCCACAATGTTGAAGTGTTCGAAAATGGTGAAACTAATACTACAAAAAACTCCATGAGTTGAAGAAATCTATTCTTAAAACCTGGAATCAGACTTTTCAATCAACAGATTTTTGTGCACCTAGAACATTGACTTCGTAATGTCTTGGGTTCACTATTTTATCTATGCACTTTTGTTTCCGAGAAAGTTTGAGACTATCTTGATATTTAAGATCTAGTTGAATAGTTTTTTAAATTTTCAAAACTACAAATGAATGAGATAACCAAGTAAACAAAATACTAGAACTTGGTTGAACTCATCAGGTGTCGCCGCAAAGTTTTAGTCAAGTACTCAGTTAGTTTCTCTAGTAAAGTAACGGTAATCAACAAAGAAATTGTCACAAACGATCACGACAAAGATTTAGCGGAATATTTACGTAAGTTTCTCTAGTAAAATCACCTACATCAACAAAAGTTTGTCAAAATTGTCACCCCAAAGTTTTAGTGAAGCGACTCTGTTGGTTTTTCTAAAGACACATAGACAACAAAGACTTTTTGTTGGAAACTTTCTGAAATGCGGAAATTTCTGAAAACGAAATACGTCACTTTGGCCCTCAAGTTCCGAATGTGCCGTATTTAGAAAGACCTGTTGATCTCTATCCATGTACAGAAATCGGACACAAATGGGACCGTATGTCATTCCGATCTACACGGGCGTACTTTAAGAATTTGCCATTGTTGCATTCCTCGACCTGCAACCTCGAGTCCATCCATCCTCCAAGCAAGGACGACAGTTTTTGTCGTAACCTTCTGTTCATGCATGCTGTTCACTCAGAAAGGAACATGCGTCTCAATGAAGCACCAGCTTTTTAAGAACGGATCTTGGGGAAAAAAAGGGGATGAGGAGCCGAGGGCTGAGCCGAAGCATGTAAAAAACCACCGTTTGATCTTAAGAGGCATGAACTCCGTTTGTTCTGTTTATGATGAAGCAGCCAGTAATGCCAATCCGTGCACACATTGGAACGATTTTGTGAGGTACTTTGGTAGTATGTGTTTCGCAAACTCCATGGTTCGTGAACTGAGGCCAACCACGACACATGATCTAGATATTGGGAATGAATCCACCTGTGTACTCATCTGTGAACGCCTACTCGTGGATTCACTTGATTTACCTTATTAGAAACTCATGTTATTCCATGGCTGTCAAGAAACTCTGTTATTTCAAGTCTGTGCTAGGACTCACTTGTTCAGGAGATTTTCGTGTTTGAACATTTGAAGCAAATAGCTGGTATAATTATTGCCCGTGAGCCCAACGACGTCGTCATGCTTACGTATGTCATCGATCAGCAGACTGTTGAAATGATGAAAAATCAGTAGCAAAAGAAGTGAGAATTTACCCCAAATCGTTACATCAGATTAGCTTCTTCTCGAGTTGCTCTCTGGGCTAGATTCTGCACAGAAATCCAAGACGGCAAGGACGCAGTCCATAGACAGACGGCGGTGCTTTGTGTCTAATCCAAACACATCTAATTACATAGAAGAGAACCAGCTGTCGAAAGGAGGAGTCCATGTTGGAAATTTTTAACCAGCTCTTCGGAGTAGTCCCTGTGCAGTTCATGAGATGGAGTCAGAGACAGCGTCTTCATCTCAATGGGAGAACCCAACCTGAATCCGCGGAGTCAACAATAAGCAGAGATATGAAGACGAGGATCGGTCAGGATGTTACCTATATTATTCATTGTACGGAGTTTGTGTATACTATGTATGTCACCGTCTTGATGGTTGATTACGCAGGAGTCATTCAGATGCCCTTCTTCTCCCGTTGTCATCCAAGGACCGCACTGAAGCTCAAACAGCAGCGACCAGATAAAAATAAAGTGAGGGTAAATAGGAACCTCCGAGGCCAATTCGTATGAATGTCCTACTTCAGTTCCGGTTGACGGGTGGCTGCCTCGACTAAGAAAGAACGAGGGAAAAGTGAGGGAGAGCATTTTCTTATCCAAGTTGAAGCAGAAAGACTCAGGCGCCTTTGATTTTTCTACTGAATATTGACTACTGACAATCTACTTCACTGAAGAGAAACAGTGGGTAATCGTATATTTCAGCAGTATCGAGAAAGCTTCATAGCTCGAAACTCTGGGCACGAAAAGGTAACCTCATTAGAAAGAGGGCTGCGTTTCTGTCCTTAGAGTGATGATTTACTTCCTCATAGGCTCACGGGTCACGAGAGAGCTGCAGGCGTCAAGGAATCGAGTTAAGAGTCCAGGCTAGACAATCGTGGAGCTCAGCCCAGACTCCAGTGAGACCCTGGCCATCACCCAGATCGACTGAAGGGAGAGGATTATCTTCTCCAACACGTACAGTAGGTCATATTGAGCTTCGGGGCAACTGCAATCTGATAGGGATCGAAACGATGAAGATCGGAACTCAATGGATCACCTCGAAAAGCCTCATGAGGAGGACTAGTTTGACAATTCAGTAATATTGCGTGGAGGCGATGTTGAAATAATTCACTGCGACCATATTGATCACCTGTTCCCGCACACCTGCATCCAATTCTAACCCGCATCAGTTACCACGGCGAAGCTAGAAAGAGCTTATCTTTGAAAGTGGGGCATTCGTATCGAGCGAAACAACTTCATTGAACCGAAGTTACAAAATCGAGACCATCAATTTAGCGGAACTTTCCACGTATGTCATAAACTTTGCTTTTTGTTGCTATGGACGACAACCAACTGCTACTTTTCTCGAATGTGGAGTTCGTGTTCGTCGGGCTCGGAACAATGTCGGATCTCCTGCATAATCGGAAGTCCTGCGACCGCAAGACACCAGGTACTTGTCGTCTTCCAAAGTCCAGTTCCATGCCTCCGGATACGAGAGCTTTGGGGTATTAGGTAGTAGTATTCTGCAAGCTGGAAGAATGCATATAAAGTTTTGATGCTATCGACCACAAGAGCAAGGACAGGAAACCAGATTCATATGAACTCGAAGATCTACTGACTCAAAGAACGGTAGCACCACCCCACGGTGCTCAGAAGTCTCAGATGCATGGAAGTCACTGAAGTATCTCACAGGGCATCTGATCTGAGTTTCTCTACTGGAACCACCGAAGATGGCCTCGAGATCTCGCGCCGGTGAGACTGAGCTATAATCGACAGAGATCGGATGCATGAAACCAGAATGCAGTTTCTTCATGGAATTACAATCTCGAATGCATGAATGCGCAGCCGGCAGAAAATCCGGATTCTTGTTGTTCAAAAGGTCTGAATATTTTTGTTGTTTCCCCCATTTCATTATTACATGTTAGTAGGGTTGGAGTCACAACCTCAAATGCATGACTCATTCGCATTACTCCATACATGCTCTTATGGAAGAATCAAATTGAAACATATTAAAACATGTGGAATTCAAGATTGAGAGTTCACCATGGCAAGGCTAAACGAGTGCTTGTATGGTACCTTTCCCATTCCACAAGCTCCAAACAAACTGCCGAGAAATTAGTGTTAGTAGCGTATCAGTAGTTCGAGGATGTGCTAGTTTCTCAGTTTATCAAGATTGTAGCTGGTGCGGCTTGAGTCGACATGCCTTGATGCAGAAGTTAGAACTGATAAAATGTGCTATGAGGAACCATATTGTGGATATTCATTTGGAGATGGAATTTGTTTGGAGAAAGTAACATCTCAAATAGTCGCATTCATTTTACATCAACGTTTTTCACGTGGAAGTTGATAACGACCATAGTCACATCCGAACTTTAGACATCAAACAAAGATATGCCCTGTACGGAAAAAAGTTGATGAGTTGCTAGTACCAAGATTACCATTTTTCTATTGCTCGGCCAAAAAGCTCATTGATAGTAGCTTGATGACAATCCCAACAAGTTGAAACATCAAGTCTTGTATCAACGGACTTTGGTATTGAAAGTAGAATATTGAGTACATGCATATAGTGAATCGATACTCAAATGACGACAAACCTCAAGGTAGTAGTCAATCCCATTGCAACCAGGATTGAAGTCACAACAAGGTTTTTTTACAGCACCAGTAGCAACTATGGCCAAAGATCTTTAGTATGTCAATGATTGCAGACGAACATGAAAGTCATTACTTGCAATTCATAGACTTCTTGATCAACTTCAACGATGCATTCAACAATGTTATCAACAACGAACTAGAAATGTTCATACGTGTTTTCAATCTTAGCTACACTATGATACTCAAGATGAGTGATCTCTGATAGATTATTACAAAATCAATACAATGAATGTTTGCTAGAGCTTGAAAATCAGCTCAAAACGATATTGATGAACAGATGGGAACATGTTTTCAACAACTAGATCTACATTGTGATTGTCATCACCAACACAAAACAACAAAACTTGGACTTTACAATTAAATCAATATCTTGCAGCAAGTGATATCACAAGGTAAATCAATTCAATGAGTTATCATTGAATTGATATAATATATATAATTATAATATACATATCATGTAAATCAATTAAAACTTCAATCCAATCCCTTGTCATTTTCAGATAAAAGATTTTTAATGACATTTGAAAAAATATTGCAAATCTTGCTTAAGTATGAAGGTTCATCAAGATGTATTTGATCTCATCGCTAGCAGAATCAAACAACTACATCAACAATTTTCAAGCCTTGACAAGCAATTCAAACAAAAACTTTGTGATGGATATGTTTTGAACAATCTGTTGTTGATGCAAAAGTTTTGCGTGTGTTTGCAATGTACTTTTTTTCTATGCCTTTGCATAATGACGTAGTGTGACAAATATTTTCGCAATTCTCATTATCAAAAAAAAAAAACTTGCAACCACATGACGGTAAAAGGCATGAAGATGTTTTTCATTGTCAATCTAGCCTTAATCTGCACCCTAAACTATTTTTGACAATCTGCTTTATTGCCGATATCATAATGAAAATTTTAGATAATAACGATGATTTTTAGTAAGATTTTGACATTTTTTTGATGCAGTTAAATACAAACTAAAGTAGTTTCCAAATATTATTGTGACTATAGTAAAGATCAAAGCAAAAATAAGAAATTAGAAAGATTGAAGCGTAGATGAATTATTTTCTTGAAATTTTATGTATTGGAAAACATGCATACTAGAGTTTATGCTTTTGGAAGTCACGATAAACATGACTTAAAAAAATTTGTTGTGACTTCAACACTACATGTTAGTGTGAATTCTTTTAGATAATAGAAATTTTCACCTGATTGGATGTACATTCTAACAAAATATTCATTTATTATACAATCATTGATGTAGCGTTTGTGATTGTACATGAAAATGTCACTTTATTTGCAATTTACATTGCAATTTGAAAAACCATTAACACAACCTTTATTTAAGAAGTAAAGTTTTATTTTAATACCTTTTTTGGCTAGATTAAAAACTTTTTTGCCAGTCCTAATTTAAACACAATAAATTAAGTGAGTCTTTTTATCAACTCAATTACTTCTACGGCCAGTTTCTTGAGTTATGACCTAATTGTGGCCACACAGTCCACACTTGTGTACTTCCACGTATTTAAAAGGAGATTTGACTTTGACAGTTTTTGTCTTGTTCATGAGTACTCCAGGTATGCCGCATTAAAAAGTATGCCGTCACTCGACATTGGAAAAGCTTATCTTGTAATTAGCAATCACATTCTTGTTGATGTGTTCAAAATCATCAACTCCAAAAACTGCTGCTGTAATGTACTTAAATACTTGTATTAGTCATTACACAATGTCAATTTATTTTTATTCTAAGTTGATGCTAAGTATGGACACAATATTTGAAAACAAAATACAATATCACAATTGATTTCCATATAATGATGAATGCATTAATTGTATATATAAATTGCAAAAATTGCATAAGAGAATCATCTAGAAAATGTAAGCATGAAATAAATCTATTTGATTGAATAAACTTATCAAATCAAGATGTTTGCTACATTTATTATGATGATTTATTTGAATTACAAAATGCAGCAAATTAAATTATGCATAGAAAATGAAGTATATTGATATTATATATCATTTTATCACAAATGTAATTCTTAATAAGAAGTTTGATCTAATCAAGATTAATATTAACTCAATCCAACTAATGCATTGTATCAAAGTTTTTTTTTTTTTTTTAAGTTCTCAAAAACATTACTTTACTATGCAAAATCTTCATAAAGATCATAAATATAATTCAATAGCAATTTTTGTTATCACCTTATATATTATATTCTATCATGATTTGGAAATGGCTTAATTCTAGTTTGCTCTAGTTTATATGGTGCTTATGTCACATGTTTTTTTAGTAAATTTTTGTAGGTTAATTACATAGATGAGAGAGTTTACATACTAAAGACATAAATTAATGAAATGATTGCTATGAATTTATTAAGATTATTTCAACCTAAGTTAAGTGTCTAAATGTCTAAGTTTGTGTTTTTTATAACATCATGTATGTAAATTTGCATCACAACCATAAGCATTTTAGTTTTCTTCATAACAACAACAACAAAATGCGTTTTCATATCAATGCACATGTTTTAAATTTTATCTTTAATACGGCAAAGGCTTATATACATATGTGTTCTTAATTATTTTATTTTTAACTAATTCAACATATAAAATTAATGTTATGTTAATTTTTATGATTAGATAATAATTAATTTAATTGATTCACCTTCATAAAAATTTTAAAATTAAAATTCTATTTAATCAATATAACATGCCATATACTCTTTAAATTGTAATTTCTACCTTTCAAGGTTGTACATTTTAAGTTATCATTTTATGTATTTTATAAATCTTAACTTTGAGCTAGATATAAATAACATTGCATTCGTCAATTTTCAACATGAATCAAATTACTATTTCAAATTAATTTTACATCAATCAGATATATTAGATACTTGAATTCAAATATTATCAATGAAAATTATATTGTCTAAAATCCCTTATAATTGAAAGCTCAATGTTAGATATAGATTTTGAAAAAATACTTCAAACAAATAAATCTTGTGTCAGTTTTACTCAAAATTAAATTATAATCTATTTGCTATCAAAATTTTAATATATATCTAATAAAAATTAGTAAGAATAATTTTATTTTTAATATACATTAATATTACATAAATTATTTTATATGAAAAAAAATAATATTATGTATATAGTTTATCTTATCCTATATGAGTTCAAATTATCCAATAAATAGTATTTAAAACTAATCATTACATTTTATTTTAATTTAAATTGATCTATAATTTTTCATGACAATCTATACAAATGAGGTGAAGAAATAAAACTTCTTTATATAATTATAAATATAAGTATACAAAATTATTGTAATAAATAATTTTGAAAGAAGAAATCAAAATTAATAGATGTTGTATATCAAAATTTTTACGCATTTTTCATCGAACCAAACAAGCTATGAAACCACTAGTTCAACGTTAGTTTGATAATGTTGTGACGTGATATATATACTACGTAACTACTATATACAAACGATCAAAATCAATCAATTATAGACAACATGTGACCAGTATGCTGTACCAACTGATGTTATTCTACTCCGATATATACAGCTAACTATTGTTCAACATCCAAAACAGGTTTCTTGTCTACTGTACTATATCGAATCATCAACTAATGTAATGAGGGTTGAAAAAATGATGTTCACAAAGATATCACATAGAAAACATCGGTCATAAAGCTCCAAAAAACTCAAGCAATTTGATGTCAATCTAAATAAGTATACAATCATTCTTCCATGACTTTTATCTTCGTTCCATCCGTCTGGGATTCATCCAAACCTCAAAGAATGCTGGAAAACAGCGTCGCATGTACGCAATGTCCAAAGTCGACATTTACAGCAAGACAGGCAATCGATCTCGCGGAGTTAGTTGAGGAGTCCACGGAGCAACGCAGAGTTGGTGCCCAGTACCTACCGTAGAGTAGACGAACTCACGGAAGGTAAACTGGCAACGGACGGACAGACGGTAAGTCAAACGAAATGAACGCGAATGTCAAATGGAGCTGGGATCGGGTTTGCTGACACGGCAGCAGCGCGGGCCCGCGGGAGCGGAGCGGGAGGAGGAGAGGAGGGGAGGCTAGAGCGTGTCATGTCACCGGCTGGTCCTCGAGAGAAGGCAGAGAGCTGGTGCGATGGTGACGCGAATGCCTTCGAGCGACGTGCTCGGCTCTTGATCGCTGCCGAGGGCGGAACGAGCAAATTTCCATCGGAGCGAGCCGGAACGAAGCGCCCTTGCAAGCCGATGCTCTTGCGATACGACCCCAGGCTCGAGGGTCTCTGCTGTGTTGATCTTCTTCTTCTTCTGCGTGTGGCCATTTCGCTCTATCTATCTATCTTTCGTGCCGGTGGCACTGGGTCGCCCTTCAGTTCGAGGCGAGCCGGCCGAGCGGGTCGCGAGCGATGGCGGGGGCCTTGGACGCATCGTTTGCGCACATGATGCAGCAGCACTCCATCCGGAATGTTGTTCTTGCCAATCGTCTCGGTACTGGATGCTCCTCTTCTGCCGTCAGGTTCTCTGGGAAACAGAATTTGCTGTTTCGTTGGGTCTGGATTTTGGCTCGAATCGATCGCTGGTCGATGCCCACGGGTCGCAATCGGTGCAGTCCCGACTACGAGTCGACCTCATCCTTCATCCTGCCTCTGTGCATGCATCAGTCGTTCTGTCTTGCTCGTCAAATCAATAAGTTCTGGCAGTTTTCATCTCGAGGATGAAAATTGCCGTCGCCTTGCCCGATGAAAGGGACCGAACCGCCTCTGACGTCATGGACGCCTTTGCTTCCTAATGACGTCATTTCATCGCCAACAAACTGTTCCCTTCTGTACCGTCCATTAGGAGTCTGTGTCTCGCCTTTTTGTCGTATCTTCGTAATGACCTGTCGACGGATTAGTAGGAAATATTCCACTCGCACATTTGAGCGGGTGATATTGGGACGACGGTGGGAAACATTTCAGCATGTCTGTCAAACAAACATGACAGTGAAACATCATGTGCGTTTGGTGTGCTAGGTTTGCTGGCTTCCTCTTCTTCCTTTACCTTGATCATACTTTTAGGAACGGGAGTCGTGGTGCTGGTCAGTCATTGTACAATGCAGCTTACGGTCTTCTTTTCAAGTCAGACCGTGGTCGTAGCAAGTCACAGCTCTTCGTTAAATTTGTGTATGTGTGTTTTCCTGAATTAGGAGGGGCTTGATAGAAACTGTGAAAGATTGAATTCGCTGGATAGAACCCGGCGTTCAGGTCGAAGAAAGGGATAACTTTTTCGATTTTGACCGTCACAGGGGAGGATTCCTCCGCAGACAGTGGGAAGTTTTCATCTGTACTGGTTCACAATCGTAGAGATTAATATCATTGTGCACATTGATGTTCTAAAATTTTCGAATTACATCACACGCAGAGAAATCGAAGAAAGAAGCGCTGAGTGCAGCTACGGAAGTGGCCGGCCTCTTGGTGGACAGTGTGAACGGAGGAGTTCATGAATCCTTCATCAATGAGAAAAGAATTGAGATGGAGGCTCGTGCTTTGGCTGCAACAGTACAACGGTTTACGCAAACGACGACGCAGTGGCTTACTGTCTTCCACAACTTCGATTCAGCCTTGAAGGTAATTTCTTGCCCGAAAACACCGGACATCCATTGTGTGTGCCCAAATTTCATTCTTAAACTAGCTAATTCTGTTATTTGAACGCAGGAAATCGGCGATTTTGAGAACTGGATCAAGGTCATGGAGTACGACTGCGAGAGTGTGGGAAAAGCCCTCAATTACATTACTCAGGGCAAGCGGAAGGAACCCATCAAATAAGGAATCATTTACAGGTCTGGATATATTTAGCGTTTGGTCGTTGATTGTAACGATGGTATCATTACTGGTCCACCCGTATCAAATATCGAATAAAATTAAAACTTTGCCTTGCTTGTTCACTGTGGAAGTGGTTGCGAAGCGGTGTTTCTCTTCGGCGATAGGACGCGGATGTTTTTTTCGCGTGAAATGGAGGTGAGAATCTCATTGCTCTTCCCACATTGAAAGTTTGTGCTTCGCTTTCGAATTATCTTGCCTACGTTCGGGGAACGTGAACAAGTCCGGAGTTAGAAGTGGTTCAGTCGAATTGTTACTCTCCGTGTTTATCTGCGCGATAGCCAGGTGTACATGTATTCCTTGATTTGATGAACCGACATCTTCTCTTCCTGCAGTGGCGCTTATCGAGGCGAGGCTCCACTCCGGTTTTCCCGTTGCTGCCTACCACATCTACGCGGCATGTTGTCTGGCATCCTCACTGGATCTTTGACTGAAATAGTCAGCTGCTCATGCTTATTGGTTATGAGTCGTTATGATTTATGAGCAGAGTTAGGGGCATAGGTTTCTGCGTGCGCGAAGGAACATAAAGGACAGTGTCGGTTGACGTGTGTGAATAATTATCTTCGGAACGTAAAGTATCGTGTAAAAAAGTAGTTGACTTTTTATGTGAACGGACGTGATCGACGTGTAATTTTCTACTTCATTTTTAAAAATGCTCATTATACCAGATCGTTCAAATTTGCAATGACTGGCTTTGGAATATTCGTCGCAGAAGATTCATAAGCAAACATGTTAGAAACCAGTGTGAAAAAAAATTATTTCTTCCACAGTATCAGTGATATTTCTTCGAATCGAAATTTGATCGTGTGACAAATTTCTGTCACAAACGAAAACAATGAGGTTGTTTCTCTACCTAGCTTAGTGCCAGAAAGCTTGACGCATCGAATGATAACTCTCTTCACCCACAGAGCAGATAATAAATAATCTGATAACTTCCTAGGCTTTTAAGAGATTTCCTTCGACTGCTGTGAAACGGAAAGTGTGAAGTGAATTGGTCTGAGCTAAAAATCTGACAGACGCGACGCATCACGGCCCTCGGCTGACGAAAACTAATGGCAGGCCATGTGATGGTGTGACTCAAGTCTCATAACCTCGACAAATCTCACTGCCCGTATATGGTCGGAATAATGTACAATGTAAGAGTCATTTCAAGAATTCAGCTTGACCGATATAAACTCCTCCCTGGGCACATGAAGAAAAGGATGGGAAGTCTACCGGGGTAGTTTTTGAGGTAGGTACTTACTGTACATGTTGCAGGTGGTTCACCACAAGTATCGTAGAGCAGCGCCCGGATCAGTGCAATCTCAAAATTAGAGAGCGTCTCAAAAACATTTACAAGGGCGATGTTAGTAAAGCCATCGCAGTTCCAGATACACAACACATTGTGACTTTACCTGTGGGAAACCGTTTAACGAAACCTACAGCTGACAGGCTACAATCAGGAACATATTAACCCCAACTCTAGTGCTGATGAAAGCATGATCAAGGTAAACCTGATCTGTCGTACGATTGCTGACACCAGCTCAATACTGTCCTATCCCATGAAAATCCCTAATAGTTTCTAGCATAGACCTTCAAAGGGTCCACAATTGTGGCAGGGTTAGTTTGCATGATTCTGACTTGCAGGATTGAATCCATCAGGCAGATGATTTCAGAATAAATTCCCCGACTCATCTGCCTTCTCCATCATCCCCTGGTCTCCTCTCCAACTTAGCCTTGCAAGCCTTGCATTCAGTTACTATGTAGATACGGAGGACACAGCACAAGAGATCTCTTGGCGAATCCAGATGTCAATCCATTAGGCACATGATGAAAGGGAAAAGTAACAACGTCGGAAAGTCTACACACCGGTACAGTTTATCCATCTTCATCGTCCTCCTCCCCTTCCTCGGCCCCATGGTGTTCACCATCCGAGGCCCCCCCACCTTCTCCAACGACTGGTTCCCCGTCGGATCCCTCACCCCTTCCATCACCAGCTGTATCTTCCTCCTCGTCTGTATCCTCTCTCCGATCCCTGCTATCTTGACGACTCCGATTCACCCTCTCTCTATCAACTGATCGTGTGTGGGAGGATGGACCATGTGCGCCATCATCTGAGAAGAAAGACAAGTCAACATCTTTTATAACCTTACCTGTCCAAAACACAATCTAGGTAAAATATGTTCAAACCACGTCAGCCTCAGAACGATGACTCGGATGATACCAACTTGTTCGCCCCAGTTGTCTCAGTAGCCCTTCACATACTGAGAGCTGCTATGAAAGACCGTAGTCCAGACCACAACTTACTTCGGGCAGGCTTCGTAGAGTTCAAAGCAGGAGGGAAATTGCTCTAAAAACTGTATTTACGCAAGGGAAATGAATCCCAGGAAAGCCATGAGCTAACACGGCTTGGTTTAAAATAGAAACTCAAAATAGAATAGAAACTTAAAAATACAAGACGCTGACAACCTACAGGCCACACACACTAGCCAACTATATAACCTTAACGCGTCAGATAGATATGAACTCATCCACTTATATAGTCCTAATGATTATCCTCAGAAACACATACGGCATGTACTTCCGCTAATCTATAAATAGCGGCAAGCGTACGGGCGAACTCAAATCAATAATCACTTAACTCGCCTCTGCAGCAATTCTCAAAGAAAAAAAAATTATACGCAACAATGTATATTAGCTACAATCTACTTCATGTGTCTTTCCTCCGAGACACGGGAAGTTCATGACAGAGCTGAGATTGTTAGAGCCGTAATATGACCATCAAACAGTGAGACTTGACCTCCATGCCACTGCAAGCAGCCAAAAACTAAGGTCTTACCACTTTCTGCCTCTTCTGAAGACTCACCAAGCTCCACCAAAGCAGCACGAAGAGCTTCTTCTTGGGCCTGTGATCACAAGTAGCACAACCATCATACGAAGACTAAGAAGCAATATTCAAAAATCAACTGATACAAGGAAGTACAATACTTATTATCTGATTGATCTTTTAATATTGATTTTCTAATTGCTACTTTAACATAATTTGCATTTGATATTCTAAAGAACATGTTAGTCGGTTCGTGTGCGTCTTCTGCTTGAAACCCGTGTGAACACGTCAAAGCAACAAATAATAGGGGTGTACTGAAGGAATCTGCCAAAGATTTTACCTTAGCTTTCCGCTTCAAGTTCTCCAGCTTCTCGATGTCCACAATTTCATCGAGGTTCTCGGCCTGTGAAAAAACTGCTTTAGGAACTAGCTACAACCATAGATTGCATGAAAGACACCATCCAGAGAGGAAAAGCGTACCAGAACCTATCGAATCGTTGTGTTGCCATGGATACATCTTAACAGTCAAGAGTTAGATATTAAGCAGAACACAGATCAGCGAATCGACATACCTCCTTGAGAAGTGGGTCGATGATCGGTATTTGCAAAGTTCGACTCCCCTTCCTCTCTAGACCATTTTCGGCGCCAGGTGCACCCCTCCACGACCTCGTTTGTGCAACTGGCACAATTGCGGCTGTGGCAGCCGGTGGTTGACCTCGAGCACTACCCCGTGCCCTCCCAGCGCCAGCAACTGAACCACCCCTAGCACTACCTCCCCTCTTCATGCCGCGTCCTCCACCACGACCCACAGAAGCAGGCGGTCCGGAGGGCTTGTTCACAAGGGATATTGGTGGACCTTCCACCCACTTCATGTCACCTTTTGACATCTGCAATTTATTAAGACGCAGACTTTTAAGAACGTATTATGACGGATCCTACTGCTAGGCACCTTCGGCCAAACGATACATTACGAAAAGGCAATCATCCTTTCACTGTCCCCCAGTTGTATGCATAAAATCATGGTTAATATCAGTGGGTGTGATTAGTTGGTTTTATCTGATCGAAAAAAATAAATTCGATCCGGTAATCTATATGCGCTCTATAGAAAAGCCAGTGCTCTTCTTTCAGTAACAGTGTAGAGATTAAGGTAAGCAGAACGGTATACTCTGAGTTATACCAATGTCTGTCAATTGCCGTAATAGCCAATAGATAATACATTCTATGCCAAGGATTAGGGAGTCAAGCCCGGAAAAGGTTATGATCAGTATTACCTCCTTCAAGTTCACCCACTCCCAAGTCTCCTGTGCAGTACCCATGTCATACACAAGTGCATGCTTACCCTGTGCACAGCAATAACCACGACATCTTACACGCCTCATTCATGCATTCCCTGAGACCCTTGACCCAATTCATCCAAGAATGTCCAAGAAAATAGTAGAGGGGCTGTAAGGAAAAAAAAGGGCAAAGTCGGTTGTAAATCCTTATGTTCATCTGAAATGTTGAATGCATCTACACAGCAACCACCCTCTGAAGTTCAGGCACGAGCAGATGTTACCTTTTCTTGATCGTAATCCGTAATCACCGCCTCATAGAAAGTGTTGTCATCTGGCCACCGGGTCTTCACTCTCTTCCCTAAATATGAGTCAGACGCGGCCTCTGCTCCAGCGCCAGATCTGCCTGGAGCCGGTCCTCGCCCTAAGTTAGAATTCCTGCCAGAAGCAGGAACTCCCACAGGAGCTTTGGGGGTGCTTGCTGCAACCACAGGCGGCTGACGACCCTAAAAGAGATCAGAAACGTTCAGTGCTAGATTGATGAGAAGAGGGGCGCGCAGGAAATCCATTAGATCTTGTACGGACAGATCAGAATTTATGTCAAAATTCACGATCGCATGAATTTTGAACATTAGAAATTTTTGCGAAAACAGTTCTAAATTTGGAATAATTCATCGTACCATCTTGCTTTTCTTGCCTCTAGGCCCGACAGGAACACCTCTTTTAGAAGGAGCGGGTGAGGGAACGGCAGGAGCTGCACTTGGCGCAGGTTTCAGCACAGGCGGAGGCGGTGGTGGTGGCAAAGGTGTGGTCACTTGAGCTACATGAGTTGTTTTCTGCTTCTTCCGAGATTGTGAAACAGCAGGACTGGGCGAAGGATCAAGCAAGACTGGAGGAGGTGCACTTGGTGGAGGGGCAGATTCATCAACCGGTCTCCATTCTCTGTAAAAACCCAAAACAGCATTCAATGAATATTGTGCCCTCATCTCATCCCACGAAGATTTCAACGCGTGTGTTGATCCGATAGATGATGATCTGCTAAGATATTAGATCACATTTTTTGCTAAAGCCAATGTGCACTATATTAAGACCGCTAAGCTTAACAGTGATTTTAAAAAAAAAACGCTCTATCTTACAATACCTGTAATACATTAATAATACCTGTAATATATATACATATAACTGAAGGTTGATCATTTAACTGGAAACGTTCATTAACTGGTACGTGTCCTACAATTGAATTGACCAATCACCCTCAGAGCAAAACAATCGTTGTCCAATGTCCTCTTCGTAAACGACTACCCGAAGACAGGTCTCAGTCACTTCGAAGTCCAAAATAAAGACTCGCACATGACTGACATACAAGTCTTAAAAGCTGGAATTGACTTGCTGCCGGTGCCTATATACATTCGGATTGTTTATGGTGCAATAAACAATACATTTTGCATTAAGCTCGTCTGCTCATAGGAGATATTAAACGACCGATTTACATCAGGTAACAAACCTGATTTGTCGAAGCGTGTCATCACCCGCGACTCTTCCCAAGAGTTCCCTGTGTTGCTCATCTGGAACTCTAAGCTCTTTCCGAAGATCAGACATGAGCCGCTCCTTAGCCTGGAAATTCACCCAACCGATAGTTAATACGCAATCAGGAAGAGTGTATTCATGAAGTATAGTACTTCACAAACTGAGAGACGTTGTAAGCCCGATAAGCTGAGAGAATTGGACAGATTCATCTTATGCATCAAGGTTTGAAAAAATTTACTCTTAAGGGATTCGACGGTACAAGATAATAAGAGCCGAAAGAGCCGAACGATTCTATCCACATTAGAAAACATCAGTACCGAGAATTACTGATTCCTAGAGGGGAAATACTAGGTGCCAGAATTCTCGACTGTTATGAACGACACCGTGTGAGCAATCCTCAAAATGTTCCTTCCTAGTACTGAGTTCTAAACTTGTAACGGTTAACAAAATCCTGACAGGGGTCTAGTGAGCATCATTCAGTGCGAGCCATTTCCGAATTAGTATACTGAGGGTGTGCAAGGACTGCGTTGGTAAGCTGGTAACGACGTTCAAGAATCTAGTAAAGAGAACAGTTACCTTGACGCAAAGTGCAAGCTGGGGTGTAGTATGGATAAGGGCATACCCATGTTATAACCTCAGACTGGGCTCCGAAAGCACGTAGTACAGCGGTATACGCATCAAGCTCCAACTTCCTTATTTGCTGATCTGCTGTAGGAGGTTGAGACCGTCCGTACACAGATGCACCGGCTGCCCTTCCATTGCCACTAGGCCTTCCACCACCACGCGCTCCTCGGTTCGAATGGCTTGGAGGAAGATCATCGTCTGTACCTGCACCACGTACTACTGCTCATCAATACAAACGTCAAGTCAAGCTGGCAGCTATCTAAGAGACCGCAACTTGGTGAAGATAAGCACAGACGTATATGAATCCCTTCGCAAACTATACAGTAGAGAAATATACTTCAGTTCTCTCAATTGAAGTAGAAAATCTACTAGAGATTGTTGTCTGTCCCCAAAGCACGAGAAGACAAAGGAGACGGCTGGAGAGTGAAGATCTTCTCGTGGCATATCATGAATGAGATTAGTAAGGACTTTCTCAATGAAATAGGATATACCTTGGACAGGCAATATCATGTTGCTCTCTACCTCACTTCTAGGTGGAAACATCCCAACCAACTATAAGAGATGTTAGACTGGGCTTACGCTCACTCCTACACAGGCGGTTCGTTTCGAGGCGGTTCGTTCCAATTTCGATTTGAAGCAGGCTTCCAACCTCGCTGGGTGGATAATATTGGTATCACACACTGTTACCCCGTAATTTAGAATGAGTCGGGTAATATGAAGGCAATTTAAAGCTTGCTTCAGTTGCAAATCCCAACACAGTCATAAGTGGAGATACAAAGTTTCCATGAAGTAACTTGACCATTCCTTGTGAATGACCAGGGCATTCATTACCCAGCAAAAAGCGAACACAATCTGGCGAGAATAGAAGTGCGGAAAATTTTGCTTTCCGCATCTCCGCTATCAACCAACTAGTTCGTCTGATAAGAGGGGGCGCTAGGAGAACGAATTCACATAAAATTTTGATGAAAAAATTTACTCGCTGAACTGAGGCCAGAACGGCTCGTGCGACGTAGGGAGAGGAGGTCGGCAAATGGCTGATTAGAAGAGTAGATTGTACGAATGACTGATCTGTATCACGAACCCTTGGAGCTGATCTCACGTGCAATTAGTCCAACAAAATTGCACACTCTGTCCTTCATTAAGCTTTCGAGCCACTTCAGGTCGATAGTAAGACTATTGCCATCACAAGCTTGAAGATTTTCAAACATTGTGTGTACCTACTGGTGTCGACACACAAAAACCCCACTGCCTGCTGCTTGACGAGCCCAAGACGTTACGAACAAAAAAAAAACACAAAGGGCATGGGATATATCTCGGATAGCTGGTTTCAGAAGATATTATCATATCAACGGCCCGACCAGATAGGCATGAGATACTACGTGAGTGTCGCCGCTCCGGATTAAATCTTGGGACGAAAACAGGGTCATTAAAAGAGCTTTGCCTCAATCATCGTTCTAGGCTAGTGTGAATTGGTATGAACAAGCGCATGGGCGTCTTGACATAAGACATACGAACGTCGTTTATTAAGACACGTCTTTGTTATTGAGGAAATCAAGAGTGCCCAGTGATGTCAATCTGCCGTTCATTAGACCCACCACCGAAAACGCCAGGCCCAAGTATCCGAAACACGCTGACCATTCATCTTCGAACATGGCGGCTCTCAGGAGTGTGAACCGGATCAAATTTCAGCAAAACGAGCCAGACACCGATGTAAAGAGTCAAGACGACACCCGCGAATACCAGTTCCCCCAATAACCCTAAATATAACACGGACGACAGATCGAGGAAACACGAGACATACCGCTAGAGTCAGACTGATTGTTGTAATCCATGTTGGATGCTAAACTCTAACAGGGCGTCGCATCCTCAAACGCTCCTCCTCCACTTCACGGACCACAAAACCATGTCGCCGTTCAACACTCGTTCAAAGGAAAACACAGAAGCCGCACATGCTTCCTCCCGAGTACGAACACCAAGTTGCTCCTGCTCCTGCTCCTGTTTCCCAGGCCGTAAATCTAACCTAATTCACACACCTACGCCCTGCTCCGCCCAGTTCCCGGACGCACTGCCCTGCGCATCGTCGCAAAGCGAATGCACACCCACGAGCACAAGCTGGAACTCATCGGACTCGGTCGCACCGAAGTGCTCGACGCCCACCGCGTCTATGGCATCATCCTGCTCGTGCCTCGAGCGGTCCTCCTCCTGCTGCCTCCTCCTCCTCCTCCTCTCGTCTCCGACTCCGGGTCCGCTAGCTCGCTCTCGCTCTCGCACTCGCACTCGTCTCCTTAGCAGCGAGCAAGGAGGCAGGCAGGCGGGGGTCAAGCGCGAGCGCGGGCGCGGGACAGATTTTTAAGAATCAAAAGATGCTCCTGCACGCTCCCGTCTATTAAATCCGGTGGTTCTTGCGTTCCTCCTGTCTCGCTCGCACCGCGTCTTCAGTCGGCCTTCTGATCTCTCGGCCTGCCAGCCGGTTGCTCTCTCTCGCTCGCTCCCTCGCCTGCCTGCCTGCGCTCCCTCCCTCCCTCCCTCCCTCGAGGCCCCCTCTCAGCGGATGGTTAGGTACATCTCCTACAGTACACTCGCACTAGCACTGGCACTCGCACTGCAGTGCGAACTCTCGTCTTCGCTAACTTCGTGACCGCGACCGGCTTCGAACCCTCTGCTGTCTGAAATCATCACGCTGACTGCCTCGCCTCCATTCCAGCGAAGCACCGCAGCTCCTCCATGGATCAGCTCGGCTCGGCTCCGGCCAGCCGCTTGTCCGCTTCCATGAGCCAGTCCAGTTGCTGGAAGAGTTTCTCGCCGCTGCTCTCTCTGTCCATCGATCGATGAATTTGCTAACCCGGTGAGCCGAAAGCTGGGCCTCCCAAAGTGATCGCGTCTGTTTCGGCCTTGGCAACATCTTCCCTCGCCTTTTTTTTCTACCCCAAAATCAGCTGACGCTCTTATGGTTTAGAGAAATGTCTGACAAGCTATGTAAGCTCGGTGGAGTTTGCTCTTTGGACATGAGAGCCATTCCTTAATTCAGCAACCTCTTCGCCAACGCTTGAGTTTGGCACGGTACCCTTACGAACCGCGTATGTCTTGTTATCATATTGCTCCGCCAGAATGCGACATCTTCTGAAATCACGAGATAAAAATGATAATGCACGGCTTGTGCACGAAACGTACAGTCATAGCATGTATGTACCAACATATAGTTATTCTCGTTTTCCATATCTCATCTTCTGAAACTCATGGAACTCGAAAACTAGATTGACACTAGTATGTAATATTCACCGAACATTTGCAATTTTCACATCAATACTACTTAATGAATGATGTGATTGTCTTCGTATCGATCTAAATGTATGGGTTCTTGCAATCACATATAGAAATCTAAAATCTAACAGGTACACATTTTATGAATAATATGTTGTGGTAACTTGCTTACTCTACATTGAACTTTTTTAACTCATTTGCATGCCTTATTTAAACTCACTACTTATTTTGTAAAAATACGGAATATATGGAAGTTTCCGTATATCCGTATATAGAGAGTATGAGTTTATAAAGTTCAACTCATTTTCATGCCTCTATATATACGGAACCATATGTATATTAAGTTAATTTATAAAATAAGGATTGTCATCAAAGCAAAATACAAATGTACATTGCATTTAGTACAAATTTCTTATATTTTCTTCAATAATAACCCAATTTGATGTCAATGTAGTACTACTTTGATCTACAAAGATATTTTTCTCATTTCATTTATGAAAAGTTGCTATTGAAAATGGCAATGTTGTAATTGAAAAGTTTAATCTTCCGAAGAACTAGATGAGTTGATGAATAATGTGTTTAATACTTGGAATATTTTAAATCTTACTAAATTTGTATTGTTTTTTCAGGCCGTTTAAGTCATTAAAATATAATTGTTTAAAATTTGTGGCAACCAAAAATTCATTGTGGAACAATTGAAGCCATTTTTAGCAAATTTTGTAAATAATATATGTGTTTTTTATAACATAAGTTTTTAAGATAAGCAAGATTGAAACTTGACTGGTTCACTTCATCGTGTGGAGCTTCAACTAAGTTCGGATTACAAACTAATTCAAAAAAGTTTTGACAACTGCATGCAGAATTTCAAATCTTATTTGTAAACTAATTTTGCCCAAGATTGAAAAGCAAAAAATTCTTGATTTTGAATTAATTTTTCAAATCGGCATGACTAGACTATGATCTTTCAAATGTTATAATATCCTCCATTGAGATCGAATCAAGATGTCAAGAACACGTTCTATGACTTCAAAGCGTAATAAAGTAGCTAGCAAAGATTGAAAAGTTGACTTTTGTTCTTGCAATATGATTTTTTGTTCTTACAAAACTTAAGCACATTTGTTAATATGGCTTTAAATCTCACTTACTATTACAATCAAAATCCACTGAAACCACATGAACATCTTGCAAATTAGTGTGATCAAAATAAATTATGATATTTTTATCATTTTATATTCTATTTTGTGATAAACTCGACATTGAGATCTAGTAGGTAGCAAACAACTTGCATTTTATCAATCAAAATCTGTTGACATTGTGAAACAAATATATAATGAAGTAAAAATCTAATGAAATTCACATCCAATGATTGAGTGAATCTTTTGCATCACAATATTCATATGTTGCAAAAGATGTCATACAAAATTATATGATATGATGACAACTCCAATTAAAAGCTCAAACATACAAGTAACATCTTGAGTTGAGCATTTCATAAGTGGTCATTTCATAACTAATGAAAGCATCAAACAACTTCAAAAAACAACTTCAAAAAAACTTCAAACACATGTCAAAAATGACCAATTCAATACTTCAACTAGAACAAACAAATTTTATGGTTTGAAGATTTTCAAGATATAAATTTTTGCTTAATTGAACAAGTACATATATCCAAAATACTTCTTTCAAATCACAGCATGCAATGAAATCCACATAAAAGATCCATGTAGAATGCATAATATCTGAGATGTTTCCTATTTATCTATCCTATGCAATTTTTACATATGAATCAACAAAATCATCATTGCCAAATAATAAATTGAAAAAGTCACAAATTTTTTTGCATTCTTGATGTTATTAATATACATCAAAAGCATATTTTTTGAAAAAAAAAATGAATTATCAACTTATAACACTTTATCTAATTGATTTGGATGCAATAATTATCATGTTCAATGAAAAAGTGATATTGCATTTGTTCAAAATTAATTATTCAAACCGCTTTCATGAAAATGCATTTTGCCAAAAATCACATCAATAATTGAAGCTATTGTGACAAAAATTATCATGAAAGAATTATTTTTCACATAATGATAACTAAGTTTTCAATGTTTAAAAATATGATTGAATTACTTTGATTTGTATTCTAAATAGAGATTTTGATATTCCTTATTTAACTCGATGGTTGATGTCATGATGTTGCGTGTAGTTATTGATTTTGAAGAAAATATACTCAAACAATCAAGGTGTTAACGACTTTTTGGCGTCCACAATTTTCTTAACATACTTCACATCCAAAATTATGTATAGAACCTACAACAAACAGCAATGACTTTGGAGTATTGAGGTTCACAAAATGCAATGACAAAATCATGCAATAAGAGTATTTTGGCTAAAAAAACGTCTTTTGAACTCTAGTTTTGCATTGACACTTTGCAACAGATTCAATGCAGTATATTGAAGATTAAGAATTGCATCAAATGAAATAATATGCTCAAATAAAAATAAAAGCTAAAAATTGCTTGGCATAACTGAATTGTGATAATTTATCACTTTTTTGTTTAAAATAGTTTAAACTTTTCTTCATATTTGCTGAAATACTAAATTTGGTCTTAGCAAAATACAAAATACACAGTGTTTATTAACATCAAATGATAAATAAATTTTAATAAAATTATAGTTATAATTAATAACATAAAATTAATAAAAAATTTTATAAACCGATTTTTATAAAAACATAAATTATGATTTGTTTTAAAAAACACAATTCAAAATAACAAATATTTTATAAAATCATGCATAGCTTTATATTTGATTTTTTTATTTTGTAAGTTATATTTTATTGTAGGTACATTTTATGGAAAGAAGAATAACATAGACAGTTCAGAAGTATGACACGCGGTAATCAAGAAAAGTTTCTTGATTAGAAATCTTATGAAATAAAAGTGATAAGTAATAATTAATGTGACTGTAGTATTATAGTTTTGAGTGTAAAAAAGTTATAGTTTGATATCTGAGAAATAATTTAAATTCAAATCATAAAAAGGAGTTGACACACATCTCAATCATGTGATACTTCAAAATTATGACACGCAAAAAAAATAAAATATGGTTCATACTTGAAATTTTATCAAATAAAAGTTTTAAACAATAATGAATTTGTCTGCAGTATCATAGTCGTGGAAAGTTAAAAAATATACTCGAAGTATATGTTACAATTTTATACTTGAGATTTCTTTGTGTGAAATAACATGAATTCAAGTCAATTAAAGGGAATAATTGTGTAGGGTCATATCCAAAAAGATGTATATTGCAATGGCTTTAATGTCAAAAGTTATGAAAAAACGCAAATTTTCTTAAAATGTGTGTAAGAAAATGAAATAAAAGTTCATATTTTGTACATGATTACAAAATTAAATCACAAATTTCATCACTTATACATAGAAAAAATGTAAATAATTAAATATATATTTCAAAGTATATCATTGCAAATGCAAACTTATACAATTTAAATGCAATATATTGTAATATAAATTTGATGATAAAATATTAGTATTAAATGCATTAATTTCAATATTAATGCATCATCAAATATCATTATATCAACTCTATCAAAGAAACTTATATTATTGACCACTATTTATATGGAAATTATACTCAAATTAAGTGATAAAGTAAATTACAATCACTAAGATATACTCTAGTCAGAATTTCAATGCAATTTTATTTTTAAATCAAGCAATGTAGTTATTTGTATGAGAATAAAAACTATTACAAATCTTATAATTTTTAAAAATAATTTAAATCAAAACACATTAAAAGTTTGAAATATTAAAATCAAAAAATTCACATTCTTAATAACAACAAAAGACATGATATACAATTTGAATTTTCTGTACATAAACTATTTATAGTGAAGAAATTGAATTTGTTTGAAATTCAATCATGTAATTAGTTCATTCATTCAGTTGCTTCATTACGCAATGAAGATTATGCAATTTAAAAACATTCATTATCAAATAAGAGTGTGATCTATTCATGTTATGATTAGACAATGAAATAAAAAATACAAATAGTAAAATCATAGCAAAAACTGCATCAAGCAGTATTGATGGAGTTGTTTTTTATGGAGAGCAGATTCATCAATCAATTTCCATTCTATGTCAAAATCCAAAACATCATTTAATGTATATTGTGTGATTATAAACTATAATGTTGACACATCATAGCTTAATG